TGAAAAACAAGGAGTATTATTCAAAATGGGTGACCCTGGAGGACATTATGCTGAGTGAGATATCTCGGTCACAAAAACACAAATATGACATAATGCCACTGTTATGGAACCGGGCTGATATGGGGCTAGGCAGAACCTAAGAAAAGAAGGGATAAATAAAGTACATGGCATTGAAACAGACAAGGGAGAAAGAAAACTGTATAAAAGGAATATATAATTAGGTATTATCGTCAGGACAAGAGTGCAGAATAGGAGCTGCGTAGTAAAGTGGTCAGGAAGGGGGCACTGTATAACAATGAAAGAACTTTTTTCCCCAAGAAAAAAGCTATTTGTGAGGAGGGGGTGCTAGGAGGAAAGTGTGCAACAATGAAAAATTGTAAATCCAAGTACTTTATAAACTTTCATTAAAATCTCAATAAAAATGAAAATAAAATTAAAATTAATATTTTAACCACAACTCAAACCATTGATTCTTCTTTTGTCATCCTTACTACTTGTTCAGCTTTCAGATGCATAGTGAGTGATTGAAAAGACCATGACCGCAATCAGGTGCACCTTACTCTTCAAACTGACATTATTGACGAGTGCAATACATCTCATAATCTTCTAACTGCTGGTAGCAAGGATGTTGATTGTGGATCTACTGATGAATCCAGTCATGTTCAGATGTTGGGTGGGATGGATTTTGTTGGGTGCAGTTGGAGTCACAGGTAACCATCGAGGCATCAGCCTGCTCCTGGAGGCTGTCCCAGCCTCTCCTTTCTCAGTGCTGGCCCCAGAGTCCTGGCAAGGCCGAGGCTTTCCCTGCTGGTGGAGCTGACATGATCCGGCACCGTGCTTACTCCTGCTTTGTCCTTTATGAGAAAGGATGGCCTTCGCATTTTGATTCCCTGGCCCACAGGCATTGTTGTTGTTAGGTGCCACTGAGTTGACTAGGACACCTAGTGACCCTGTGAAGAAGGGGTCTGTCCTCTGCTCACAGCAGTGGGCTCGAGTGCATCAGGAATGCTGAGGATGACCCACAGGAAGTCCAGTGGAGGACATTGGTCTCGTCATTACAGGGGTGGCATGGGGGCCCCTGGCCAAGAAACAGAGAGGGAGTGTGGTTTGTGGAAAGATAGGACATTGTACCTGAGCAAAATGATTCCCTTGACAATTACATCATTGTAAAGCTGGGTATAGGGAGGGGGAAATGACATCATCACCAAAATACTTCCAAGTACCACAGGCTGCCATACCCATCCTTCCAAGACTCCCCTCACTGCACAAGAGCCAAAAAAGACCCAAGTTTCACACACTCACTGCTCTTACATGCACTCCCTCAAGAGCTCACTGGGCTTTGGTGCACTGAGCATTGCATCGGGTAAGAGACAGCTGTACCAGACTCCACAAGATGCCAGCACTGTGAGCACGACACCAGCGTCCCAGGACACACATTTCACTGCTGTGGGGTCAGGGTGACTCCTAGCTGAGCCACTACTGGGTTCCGGAGGCTGTAGATGGCACAGGAGGAGACAGCCCCATTCTCCTGAGGAGCCCCAGAGGATTCAAGCTGCCAGAGAGGCTCCACCTTTGAGCAAGCAGCCTGACTTGCTGTGTGCCTCTGGAGCTGAGGGTGCACTCATGGAAATAAGGGACTAAGACAAGGGATGGAGCCCCTGGGCAGGAACGGCCTCATTTACTAACAGAGGCTGGAAGGTCACATCTACCCACAAGTGCCTGGAATAAAGGCCTGGAGATGCACTAGGAGAAGAAAAGTGAGAGGCTGAAGACCTGACAGAACTCCGTTTTACTGGTTGCATGAGGGGCTACAGGGTGAGGGAGCTCCACTGATTCTGCCTCACGGGTTCCCAAGGTTCTGAGCTTCACGGAAGCAGGCTGCCAAGGCTTTCTTCCTTGCCGTGACGGGTGGGTTTGAACTGCTGACCTTTCATTTAGCAGAGCTTTATCATTACACTACATCTACAGCAATCTCTTCTGGGTCCTAAACACCTGGCTTCCTTTCCTGGGACCTAATGAACATGCCTGAAAGATAATCCCCTCCCAGCGTTTGTGGAGAGAGGCAGGAGCTCCACTATCCTGCTGGGCTCTGCAGGGCAGCTCAGCAGTGACCTCAAGGGGCATCTGGAGGCCAGCGCGGTGCATGGTTTGGGGGGATCTTTTGAGTTTATGAAATATTGTCTGAGCTGCAAAATTGAGCTAAGAGATCCTGCTTTACATGACCTCTTGGAACAATAGACATGAAGTATGTCACTGTGACACTTCAGAGCTGTATTTTGAGTTACTGAAGAAAAGCAAACAGAAAATCTGCTCTGCCCCCACCCTCCACGTGCCCTCTCTGAACACTCGGATGACTAGAGGAAAGCGGACTGAGGCAGGGGTGGGGGTAGCGCTTTGCTGGCTCGCCTCGTCTGGCGTCCCCTTGGATTTGCATTTGGGGCCTTGTGTCTGGGGCCAAGTCAGCCTCCCTGTTAACTACACCTTTGAGGAGCAGGGAGGAGATCACCACAGGAGCCTCCGGGGAGTTGCTCAGGGCGGGGAGGAGGTGCTCAGGGGGTGCTGGAGCGGAGGCCTCACCCACCTGACCTCACCCCCCCCCCCCCCAAGGAATCCATCTTGGAATTGTTCTTTGCAGCCACCCCAAGAAATCTGTTCTACCAGCCCTGCGATGTCTAGGATGAAAACGCCGCGCTTCTTTCCCGGGTTGTTCATTAGGGGGTCAAGAGGGAGTGAGACAGGATGGGACCGTGCTATGAAAAAGTCCCTTCAACCGCCCTGGCTGGTGAGTGTGGGCAAGTTGCCGTAAGCACAGCCGACAGGACAGGGTAAACGAACATTTTGATGAAACAAATATATTTCCATAAAGACCTTAAACTTTTCTAGAAACATTTGAAAGACATTCCATGAAAATGTCACCCTTTTTGTGGACAAAATGATGTGTGCCCTACAAACATCAAAGAGAATTTCAAGTGCCATCTTAGAGGCTGGTTCTAAAATGTTTCATTACCGTCCCCAGACACCAACTTTGAAACAACGAGGAGGCGTAAATAAATTTTTGTTTTGGTCTATAAAAAAAAAAAAAAAAGAAAGAAAGAAAAAGTCCCCCACTAAAGGGCCACTTTGGGTCGGTGACAGTCAATGGCCCTGTGAAATCAGTGCTCAGAGTACAGGGTTCTCGCCACCAGACAACTGAGCCATGTGAAGCAATTTCAGTAGAGGACTTGGCAAATCAGGTGTTGTTATGTGCCATCGAGTTGCCTGCAGTTCATAGCAACCTTCTGTGCAATAGCTTTCAACCCTGCCCTATCCTGAGTCAATCTCATTGTCTTCGACACTCCTATTCCCCTTATCCCCCCCAACCGGTCACTGAGTCAATCCATCTCATCCAGGGTTTTCCTCTCCATCCCTCCACCCTTCCAAGCATGAAGTCCTTCTCCAGGTACTGGTCCCTTCTCGTAACATGCCCAAAGTTTGTGAGACAGAGCTACAAAATCCTTGCCTCTGAAGGGCAACTTAGTTTCACCCTCCCCAAGGATAAATCTGTTTATTCTCTTGGTGGACCTTGGTATGTTCAATACTCTTCTCCAGCACCACAACTCAAAGGCATCAATTCTACTTTTATCATCCTTAATCACTGTCCAGCTGCCTGGTGCATAGCAAGAAATTATAAAGACATCAGGTTTCCATCAGGTGCACCTTAGTCTTTAGACTGACATCATTGCTCTTCAGCACTCTGAAAGGTCCCTGACAGCCAATTTTCCTAATGCCATTCAAGATCCAATTCAACAGGACACTTATTGAGAATACAGCACAATAAATCCACAAAGCAGAGTTCATTCAAGGAATGAACTGAAACGAGCTCCTGCTCTTTAGGATACTGTAATTTGGTGGTTGCAGATAAATAAGCCATAAACTACCCTACAAATCAGGATAAATGGAACTGTAAATTAAGCCAAATGGGCAGAGGGAGGACTAGTGATTTCTGCAGGGTGGACACTTGACTAGGTCTCCTTCCTCTCCTCCTCACTAGCTAGACACGGGGCATTGCGCAGTCTACAGAAAGCAGGAGCCACTGTCTGCTGGCAGAATATCCTTCCGGCTGTCTAAAGTACAGACAGTTAAGTCTTGGAGAAGATCTAGCCAGAACTTTTGGCAAGGACGGTCAAACAAGGATGGTCTCTCACATATTTTGGGGATGTTGTTAGGAGAGGCTATTCCTTGAAAAGGGACATCATGCTTGGAAAGGTGGAAAGTCAGTGATAGAGAAAGCATCTATTAATGGGATGGATTGACAGAGATTGCAGCAACAGGCTCAAATTTGTCAGAGATGACGAGGATGGCACCGGATAGGACAGAATTCAGATCTGCTGTTCAGAGGATTGCTATGAGTCATATTAGACTTGAAGGCACATAACAACACAACCTCGGGTATCCCAGGCAGAAGGGACCTCCCAGTGGCCCCCTTTAACTGAGGTCCCCTTATCTGTGCCTTCTCCTGACCCAGGATGTGTTAGGGAGGCCCACAGAAGCCAGAGGCTGGGCTGTGTAACAAATTCGGTACAGGGTCTAACACATAGTGGGGGGCAGAAAGGAATCACCTTTGATGACTGGAGAGAAAGGCAGAAATGGTGTGGCCAAGGCCCCTGGGCCACAGTCACGACACCGGGCCCCTGGGCGGCAGCTCCCCACCCAGCAGACCCTCTGCAGGGAATGTTGATTGCAGTGGGTGGTGGGTGGCGGTGGACGCACTCACGGGGAGGTGGTGCAGGAGGCAGGGGCCCAAGTTCACGCCTTCCTCCCTCGGTCAGCGGAAGCGATTACTCCCCACCGGCGTCTGGCGGGGTGAGGGGCCCGGACTGGCCCCTCCACCCCGAGGGGCACACGGGCCTCCCGGCGCCTACCTCTTTGATGGCGCCGCTGCCGGCCCACCCCGCCCCCAGCCCGGGCCCTATAACTAGAGGGCGTCCCCCCACCAGGCGGTGCACCGAGGTCTCTCAGCCATGGCAGCAGCAGAACCCAACCAGTTCCAGTTCGCTGGGGCCCCCGCGGTCCCCGGGTTCCGGCCCGTCCCCTTCCTGCAGCCCCCGCGCCCCTCTGTGGCCCCGCGCCCCCAGGTAGCCCGCCTCCCCGTGCCGGCCCCGCACCCCACGGCGGTCCCGCTCCCCGCGCAGGCCCCGGGCCCCAGGCTCGCTGTCTGCGCCCGGCCGCCAACCCTGGCGGGGCTCCCCGGGCCCGCGGTGCCTTGCCCCGCCGGCTTCTGCCCGTCAGCGCCCCCTACGGGAGCCATCCCCGCGCAGCGCCCCACCGGCCTCTGCCCGCCAGCGCCCCCTACGGGTGCCATCCCCGTGCAGCGCCCCACCGGCCTCTGCCCGCCAGCGCCCCCTGCAGGCAGCGTCCCCGCGCAGCGCCGGAAGCGCACTTCCTTCAGCGCCGAACAGCTGCAGCTGTTGGAGCTCGTCTTCCGCAGGACAATGTACCCCGACATCCACCTGCGCGAGAGGCTCGCCACGCTCACGGTGCTCCCCGAATCTAGAATCCAGGTGAGTGGGCCTGCCAGCCCGATGGCTCACGGATCACCAGAGTCCCTGACTCCTGCTCCTGGGTACCACTAGCATTGCTTATCTTGCGCCTCAGTGCTCTGCGCTGTGAAATGGGGATAATCTCTTAGAAGGGGCTGTCCTTGGAGCTCTGGTGGCCTAGTGGTAAGGACTTGTGCTGCCAACCCGAAGGCTCGTGGTTCCAATCCACCAGATGCTCCGCGGGAGAAGGATGGGTAACCCCCCGCCCCTTAACTGTCTCTGAGAACGCATTGGACGGTCAGCTCCCAGTCGGCTCTGACTTGATGCTATGTAACAACAGGGTGATTGTGGGCCTTACATTAAATAAGTCAGGCACGTAATGCATCTTATGATGTTGGAAGCTCTCTGGTCTTCTGAAATTATCAGAAAAGTCAGGCTCTAGTAGGAAGGGGCTGAGAAGGTTTTTTTACCTGGTTTTCAGGGAGAGGAGTCCGATGAGGTTTGCCTCTGGCTTTGAGCTGGGCTTGCTAACCCGGTGCTAATCGCCTGGCTATTTTCTGACAAGTGTGGCTTGTGGGGTTTTGCTTCAAGATGATGCAGCATCTCGAGGCCAAGCTAGAGTATTTGGAGCCCTTACATTCTTGTCAGTGTTTGACCCCCTTGCCTTAAATTATGTGCAAGGTGCTTTTATTTTATTGCTGAAGTAACTTAGATCCGAGTCCTGGAGCTGAGGGGTAGTAAGTCTACCCTTTGCTCCCTGTCACCTTGGCCTGGGCTTTGTGTAAAGAGCAAAAACAAAGTCCGCACCAGGCGCCTTTGAGCCAGTTCCAACTCATGGCCTCGTCCTGGGCCTGGGAACATAACTGGGAGCACTTGGCACCATGCATTGTGTTGGGTTGCTAACCATACAGGCAGCAGTTCAAACCCAAGAGCCACTCTGTGGGAAGAAAGACCAGGCTGCCACCTCCCGTAAATTTATAGTCTCAAGGACTGCTGCAAGCGGCTTTGTGATCTTTCAGAAGCAGGTGGCCAGGAAAAGCAGGCCTTTCGGCCTTTCTTCTGAGGCAACTCCGGGTAGATTCACACACAAACCTTTTTGTTAGAAACTAAGAACATACCCATTATCGGCACTCAGGTAATCTGCTGTTTTAAGTGGGCTTGTTTTCTCTGCATCTCACTTTATCTCTGGGATTGATTTACCTGTCAGAGACAACTGGTGTGCCGGCAGAAGACTTGACTTAGAAAAGTGAAGTCCAAGGGAGCTCTGGTGGCCTAATGGCAAGAAGCTGCACTGCAATCCCAGAGGCGCATGGTTCAAATCTACCAGATGCTCTGTTGGAGAAGGAGAGGCAATCTCCTCCTGTACAAATCAAATCAGATTTGATGGTACACATACACACACACACACACACAAATAGTAAAATAAAAATATTTAAAGAAAAAAAAAGTGATGTCCATTGAACAAAACACCTCTCCTTTACTAATGTGCCTTAATAATTATTTTCCAGGGAGCTCTGGTGGCCTAGTTGCAAGAAGCTGCACTGCAGTCTCAGAGGTGCACAGTTCGAATCCACCAGATGCTCTGCTGGATAAGGAGGGACAATCTCCTGGACCAGTCAGATCAGATTTGATGGTACACACAAAAATAATTAAAAATAAAAAATAATAAAATAAATTATTTCCCAAATCATTTTAACATCTATCTTCTTTTACATATGTTTTGTTACCAAGTCGTAGCTGACCCTCCAGCAGGTTTCTGAGGCAGCAAATCAGAGGAGATTGTGCAGCTTTCTCTTGTGGAGCAGCTGGTGGATTCAAACCATGTGCCTTTGGGTTGGCAGTGCGGCTCCTTACTACTCAGCCGTCAGAGCTCCTATCCTCTCTCTGTATGTATAGTAGCATATTTCCATGGGAATTCTAAATACTTCTACTTTTAAAGCAAATTCCTAAGGATTTGAAGTCCTTTTCTTCTATTTCTCTGTTCCTGGCGGGTATAGACATTACGAGGCCATTTTCCACACAGGAATGATGAGACAGAGAAAGCCACCAGCCAAAGTGCTTTCCAGAAACCACTAAGCTTTCACATAAAGAAGGATTAAACCGAACTTTTTATGAACATAATGGGGAGCTCTGGTGGCCTAGTGGTAAAGAGCTGCACTGCTAATGCAAAGGTGCGCGTTTTGAATCCATCAGCTGCTCTGCAGGAGAAGGAGGTGCAGTCTCCTGTATGATTACAGCCTCTGAAACCTGCCGGAGGGTCAGCTGTGAGTCGGTTCTGACTGGTCAGCCACACAACATGAACAGAACAGCATAAGGAATGTGACTCAGAGCGGTTGTTTTCTGCCCCCTTGTAGGTGTGGTTCCAGAACAGGCGTGCCAAGTCCCGGCGTCAGAGTGGGAAATCCCTGCAGTGCCCTGCCAGGCCTGAGCTCTTCCTCAGCCACTCTGCTCTGGGAGCCGAGGTGAAGTGTTCAGAGCCCCAGGTGCCTCTGGAAGGAGATATGAACTGCCTGTCTGACCTCAGCAGGGGTGAAGGGGACCTTGCGGACCCCAGCCCCAAAGACCAGAGCTTTGAATCCTATCCTCCCATTCCTGAAGACATTGGTTCCAAGCTGGACTCGTGGGAAGACCACATCTTTTCTGCCTTTGCTAACTCTTAAGGATTCTGGGAGAGCTCGGGCTGCACTCGGAGCACAGCTGGCAGCAGGAGGGTCCACATCAGAATGCTGTCCTTTCTGGAGTCGGTGTTAAGGACACTTCCATGAGAATCTCATCTTGGAGGGTTCCTTGCCTCCTGCTATTCCACCTTCCCCCTGGCCTGGCCTTTCTCGGCAGCAGCCTCCTCCTAAGCATTCTAATGTTCATTTTACCTCTGTATCTCACTCGGCTTTGTTTCCCTGCCCCTTCTTCCAAGTCTTATTCCTATTTTGAGGGTCTTCAGAACTCATTTTAACAGAGACCCCTCCACATGATTCCATTTTCCCTTTGCTGCTCCCATGTGCCATGTTCCCTCTGAGGCTTATTACAACCTTAAATGGACTAAACTTCTCTTCCTCAACCCACCCTCTCCCTTACTCTCATTCTTCCTCAGCCTAATACCAAGGTTACTTGGAAAAAACGTTTGGCCTGTCATCTTTACACTTAACTGCTGCCCAGATGACTCTGTATGTAGATTGTTTCAAGAGTCCGTGGGCTCGAGCATGTGGGGAGCGGGGAGGGTGATGCAGAGCAGGGCAGGATTCCGATTGTTCCTGGGGTCGCTGTGTGTCGTAGTTGACTTGGTGGCACTAACTTGGCTCTAGATTCTCAGCTATTCTTTTAAATTACTGTCTATAAAGCTAGTAGCCCTTCCAGTCATTACAAAAGTTCCAAAAACTCTTGTCATCCCTCCAGCCAACTTTAGCTTCTAGGACAGCCATGCGTGGCTTTTCCTCATTCCCCAATCACAATGTGCCTCTTCCTTCAGCTTTGGAACAGAATTAAGATCTATCTTTTGAGCAGCCCTTCTTTCTGAGGACAAAACTCTGTAGAAGCCGCCCTGGCCACTCGATATGGTACTTCTATGCAGCTTTAGTGGCTTACTCAGTGTTTTTCACAAATGCAATGGCATTGAAGATGCCGTTCTATTTATTCCTGTCCTTCCGACCCTTTTGGTAAGGTAGTAAGGTGCTTTCCCACCACTCGAGTGCAGTTGAGTCGCTAACCAGAGTGCTGGTGGTTTGAATCCTCCAGCCTCGGTGCATTTGGTGTCTGCGGAGATATGCAGCCTCAGAAACGCTGAAAAGGCAGCTCGGCTCCGACCTAGAGTCAGAAGGGAGGAGTTGGAATTGTTTAGATTGCTCAGTACCCATCATGTGGTCCTAAAAAACATCTCCAAAGTGTCTCTGCAAATGTCGTATATTTATAAAACAATAACTCTATCAGCAAGCCGCTGTACTGAGAAAGCTAACATCCTTAGTGCTTTCTTTGCTTGTTCAAAGTTTACAAGTTTGTGAAAGTTTTTATTGGGAAGTTTTCTCTTAACCAACTGGTAAATTTTAATGGATATAAACAAATGTTCCAAATAGAAAAGTGTTGATATTTTGAGGGTGTTTTTGTTGGTTTTAAAGTCCTGAGAGTGAGAGAAAACTGTAGGTCCTTCTCTGTCAGCTGCTCTGAATTGGAGCAAGCTGGCAGGAGGCGTCGTGGAGCCCCTGCCTCCATGGTTCCTAGAAGTGGCTGAACGGTATGGAATGCCATTCACCCTAATTCTCAAAGAAATGCTATTCAATGGCTTGCATTTTTCAGAGTAGCGGATCTTTTACTAAAAGGAACCAGGATGCATAGTTCAAGCTTGAGTAGCAAACATTATAAACGCTGATAGTAAACGTTGACTTGAGGTGCTGTGGAACTGACTGGCTCAGTGCAAGCCTGTGAAGAACAGACTTGAACCATGCCCTGTCCTGGCCTTCCTCACTGACACACTTGGACTTGCTGCTAGTCGCCGTGTTAACCCATCTCTTAGAGAGTCTCTAGTTAGTACAGCCAATGTGGAGGGGCTGTAATTTAGACTTGTAAGATGGCCCAACAAAATGATGCAACTGAGGATAAAAAGGGGGGAAATGATGCAACTTATCGACAAGGCTGAAAACCGTTTCATAAAACCTCACAGTGCATCAATCACTTTTTGAAATCTTGTGTGAATTGTTAATGTATTTATATTGTGTTAAATTTTATTTCTCCAGATGAATTATTCAAGTACAAATACTCACATTTGCCCCCCCCCCCTTAAATGGTAGGATTCTAGGGAAAAAATAGCAGAAGTGTTTTTTTTCTCTCTCAACTTCTGCAATTCCTTCATGGCTGTGTGTTACACGTATCATCTATTTAATCCCCACAATTACCATAAAAGATTGGGACTGTTATTCCCATTTTAGGGAAGAAACTTAGCATGTAGCTGGTCTACATACATGCTGGTAAGTGGCATGCCCAGTATTCAAACCTAGCACTATCTCAGCCCGCTCTTATCTGTTTATCCTATTTATAATACTGCCTTTGTCAGACGGGCCTTTTAAAGGTCAGGATGGATGATAGGTTAGGAATAACCCAAGATTGGACATTCTACACCATGAAAATCTGTAATTCTGTTCCAATGGCACTAACATTGCTTAGAGCTCCTTTCATCAGTACTTATTTGCTGCCTGTGAGCAGTGGGCCTGGGCACAAAATGAACAGTTAAACACATAAACCACCATCCCGAACCAACAGGACCATCCCTCATGCAGCCGGGATGCTGAAGGCAAAAGATTGCTCCAAGACTGCCGATGTGACAAGCGCTGGAAGGACCAGTCTGGAGACACGAGTAGCTGGAGATGGAAAAAGAAATAGCTGGAGAGAGGAAACGGCACTGTGTGAGGGGCAGGCTGAACAGGCCGGGGAGGCCCGACAGCATGGCGCTGTGGGCAGGTACAGGAGTTCTGAACACAGGAGCGGTGACAAGGGCTCAGGCACAGGGGTGGCAGGCTCGCTGTGTACTGTGAGATCACTGCAGGTGGACAACACATGTGAAGAGGGCTGAGGGGAAGCAGGAAGCCAAGCTGAGAGCTGACTGCCGGGGACCAGGCTCAGGATGAAGGGAACAGGTGACAGCAGTGCTGGTGAAGATGCAGCCAGGGCCAGAGTCCAGAGAAATTATTTAAGAGGCACAGTTTTGGGTTTTTTTTTTATAAGTTCTTGATTGTAGAGAGTGAATCTGAATTTTGTAACTATGGAGTTTAAAACAATTCAGAAGGAAGTCTATAGGAATGCGAAGCAGGTGGGGAGCTTTCTGGTTTGTTTGGTTGTATGTAAGCAGGGGCAACGGGGTGGGTGTGTCGGAGTCAGTGAGCTAGGGACAGGGCAGCTCCATAGTTGCTGCATCACAGAACAAGAGCCCAACAGCCTCATTCAAACCACAGAGGGGACTCAAAATGCTTGCTGTGAATGACACAGGTCTCTTCTTCCCTCGACAGAAACCAATTACTTTTTCAGCACAGTCCTTGCTGCCAACACAAGAGCAGTGTTTAATTTAACTGATTAAAAAATACATATAAAACAAGGTGCTATTTAAGTGGAAGGGAATAAATGTAAAGGAAAAACATTTTCAAATGCTTGTCTAATTCCAGGCAAAATATTATTAAAATCAACCTTTGATGGCTGTGTACTAAGTGACATTACCAGCTTAATTTGGCTTATGTGCAGATGAGGAAAACATATCCTTTAAATAGTACTGGATGTAACATACATCAGAAAGACTTTATAGTGGATCTGTATCTGTTTTCCGTAAAAGTAAAAGTGGAAATGATGGTTCTTCAAAATATTTTTTAATAGGACTAATACTTCTCAACTTGTTATATTAATGATGTAGTAATTTGGTAGTGATTTTCATAGATCAATTTATTTAGAATTACAAATATCATTAGGAAGAAAAGATTTACTCATTTCTTAATTAACATAAAAATTTAGCGAAATATAAACTCTGCAGTGAACTTCTGCGGTGGCACAATACCAACAAAGAATACAGAAGCGTTTGTAAACAATACAAACATTCCAAATGGAAAATAAGCTTTATTTTACATAAACATAGAAAAAGTCTCATTTTATGAGATATCTGAAATAATCAAAACCTCTTAGCTATTTTTTAAACTCCAAATGCAAAACCAGTTTCTTATACTTGAACTTTGGAATAGTCTCTATTAAAACAGGAAACTCCAAGTACACACTTTTTACAAGATCAACATTCCAGATACGGGGTTTCCTTTGAGAAAACAAAACAAAAACCCACTCCCCCTGGGGAAAAGAAAAACCCAGAACACCTCAAAAAACCCATAAACCATTCTTCTGCATTCATATCACAGCACACACTAGTATTTGCTTTCCTTAAAAAACTTTTTACTTTCTAAGTTGTGTACTATTGTATTTTAACCAGTACACTGGTTTAAAAGTTGTGCAAATAAACAAAAATACGAAAATAGTGTGCTATCAGTCCTTTCCTTAAATTATTTTTAATAAATCTCATAACAATAGCACTTTCCCCCCCTGAATCAACGGGAAAAAGACATGCCAAATCCATTCGCTGAAATTTAGCATTTTGTGGTAATGCATTTTTCCTGCTCCTTCATTTTTTAACAGACAAACAACAAAGGTTTCTTTATAAATTATGATAAATTAAAATATTAAACATTATAAAATGATCTATAGAGCCATGTAACGTTGCAAGTAATATACTTGTAAAGTCTCTATTTCCTATCTCTATCCCAGTGGCCTCCACATAAATGGTGCCTTCCACACAGCACGGTGTTCTCTTTCCAAGACCAAGAAGCTGCTCAATGCAATCATCTGGAACTGACATTTGCTAGATGAATCTCCACACGGCCACTGATAGGCACTAAAGACCAAAGCTGTCCTCCTCCTCCTCCATAGCATGCACTGACTGGGTTGACTTCATGTAGAGTTAAAACAGTCTTCCATGAAATTATATTAATGCAGTCAGACATTTTCCATTTAAAAATATATGCTAAGAGACACATGTAACATAAGCAATGCTACAGCAGCTGAATGATAAAAAAGGAAAACTACAATGCTGGTCAGTACATCAGTTAAGGAGCGGTACAGGACACTAAAATGCCTTAATTGGAGGTCTTAACTGCCCATGTTTGCAGCAGGCAGGTGTTTGGTATTGGAAGCCTATGTCACAGAAAAGGACTTCTTAAAAACACGTCCTGTGCGGCTGGAAGAGCGGAACCTTCACAGCGCAGACTCAGTCTCTATTGGTGTTATTTGCTGCAAAGGCGTGAAGGTTTCCCATCTGGCTCAGGCCACTCTGAATATGTGCAACATGGATTTCTACATTATTCTGAAAACAGCTGAGGGGAAAAAAGGAATATGGTTAGCCACATTATCTGACAACATGGAGAAAAATTTTGGAAAAGAAAAAAAAAATCTGTATTTTAGTTAGAACTCAGATAATGACCTCACAGAGAGAGAGACGAGACCTCCTCTCCTACTTTGGCCATAATTCCACACATTCTAAAGAGGCAGAGGGAAGGTGCCCTGGGAGCCTGGCCCCAGAGTGCTGCACTGCTACTGGGAAGGCTGTGTCTGGTGGTTCGGATCCGCTAGCTCCTCCGGAGCAGGATGGCGAGAACTCTCCTCTTTTTCAGATCCACGGCCTCGGAACCCTGATGGAATCTGCTCTGAGCTGGACACGACTTGGGGACAATGAATTTGGCTTTATAAGTGAGGCAGAATGGAATCACAGTAGTGCTGGAAGAAGAGAGTGAACCTCTCTAACTGAGGAGGGTCCACTAAGCTGAGCCTCCACGGGAAAACCAAACTAATATAGCTCCTGACTCCTTTATCTGAGAAAATCCTAAGAAATTTCTATTCCGTCAATAGACTAAATATAGCTGAAAAGCTCTTTCTAAATTTATTTAAAGGATGAATTATACAACTAATTCACAAATATGTGTAATTGTGAACATTTTCCTGGAAGTCACTATAAAATCACTATAACACTGATGAGTGTATCCAATGTAACAGCAGATGACTCACTCACCTGATGTTAGAAGCATCTATTGTACTCTTGATGTCGTTTAATGAGTCTGTAAGTGATTTGAATTCAAAGGAATTTAAGTCTCCTCCTTCTGCTAGACACTAAATGAAAATAAACCGTATTTCAACATTTAGTTTACACTTCAAACACAGACATGGATATAGCTGATAAAATTTACTGATTATAATTTTTTAGCAACAAATAAGCGTTGCTTTGTTTAGTGTCAAAATATAAAAAAAAAATTTTTTTCTGTGAAATTTACCTTAATTTGTAGTAAAATAGCTGTGAGCCTGGAGATTAGGTCGGTGAGATTCTCATTTTCCACACAGGGCTGTCCTGTGGAGGAGTTGGCCAGCCGAACAATCTCCTGTGCTTCCTCTTCACACCTCCTCCGCATGTCGGTCGGCTGATCTGCGGGTTGGAGTCCCTGGTCTGGAGCCAGCTGCAACGTACAAGGATGACAAGCGCCTGAGATGTCAGTTCCTAAGGTCATGTGTTTCTACCCTGCTTTCAGATTTGGAGTTTTAAAAAAATAACACTAGCATTTACAATGAAAATTATGCCTACTCAAGCCCTGGATGTTTCTCCTGCTCAAAGTCTTTTTCCAAAAAGGCCAGTGTATACGTGTGTTGACTATCACCCAACTTTGACAGTGTATGCCAATTTTTAAACTCCTTTTTAAAAGAAACATATTGTAATTTTCCATGAAGTATAATTTAAAAACGTAACAATTGTTACGGAAATTTTTAAAAAAATTTCTTTTTTAATTTTACATTGGTTTGCATACAAAGTTGTTACATGTTGTGAAACATACATTGTGTTTTACAACATTCCTTCACTCACGTTGTTTTATACAATCATTATCATTGTTAATCATTATTATTGTTGTTGTTGTTACGTGCCACTGAGTTGCCTGTGATTCATTGCAACTCTATGTACAACAGCCCTAAACCCTGCTCTATCCTGCGCCAATCTCATTGTCTCTGACACACCTACCCCCATTACCCCAGTCACTGAATCAATTCATCTTATCGAGGACCTTTCTCTCCTGCGCTGTCCTTCCACCCTCCCAAGCATGACGTCCCTCTCCAAGAACTGGTCCCTCCTCGCAACATGTCCAAAGTATGACAGATGAAGCTTCAGAATCCTTGCCTCCAAGGAGCAGCCTGGTCTCACCCTCTCTAGAATGAACCTATTTGTTCTCCTAGTAGTCCATGGTATATTCATTAAAACTCTTCTCCAGCACTGAAGCTCAAAGGCATCAATTCTTCTATCATCCCTAGTCATTGTCCAGCTCTCTGACGCATAGCAAGAGACTGCAAAGAATATGGCTTGGATCAGGCACACCTTAGATTCCAGACTGGTATCATTGCTCTGTGCTTTGGAGAGGTCTTTGACAGCAGTCTTACCAATGCAATTCGTCTTTTAATTTCCTGGCTGCTGGTACTAAGAATGTTGATTGTAGAGCCAAGCAAACTAATGCTGTGAACAATTTCAATCTCTTTACCATCTATCATGATGCTGCCAATTGACCCAGTGGTGAGACTCTTTGTTTTCTTGATGTTGAGCTTTAATCCATATTGAAGGCTGCAGTCCTTGACCTTCTGCAGCAAGCACTCCAGATCCTTCTCAGTTTCAGCAAGCAGGGTTATATTGTCTGCATAAGGCAGACTGTTGATGAGTCTTCCTCCAATCTTAATGCCACATTCCTCCTTATAGAGCCTAGCCTCCCGGATAATCTATTCTGCATATATATTGAAAAGGTATAGGAGATAGGACACATCTCTAGTGTACACCCTTCCCAATTTTGAACCATGCAGTGTTTCCTTGCTCTGTTTTGACTAATGCCTCCTAGTCCAGGTATACGTTTCACATAAGCACAATCAAGTGTTCTGGGATTCCCATTCTTCTCAGAGTCAGCCACAATTTGTTGTGATCCACACAGTCAAATGCTTTTGTATAGTCAATAAAACACAGTACTCCCTGCTTTCAGCCAGGATTCATCTAACATTAGCTATAAAATTCCTACTCCCCTGGCCTCTTATAAACCCAGCCTGCACTTCTGGTAGTTCTCTGTTGATGTGCTGTTCCAGTCGTTTTGGGGTAATATTCAACAGAATCTTGCTTGCATGTAATATTAATGATACTGTTCGACAATTTCCACACTTTGTCAGATCATCTTTCTTTGGAATGGGAACAAAATAGAGATTTCTTCCAGTCAGTTGATCAGGTGATTGTTATCCAGATTTCTTGGCAAAACTTGGTGAGCAAATCCAGAGCAGCGTGTTTGTTGAAATACAACAACTGGTATGCCATCAATTCCTGGGGCCTTGTTTTTTTGCCAATTCTTTCAGAGCAGCTTGAACAATAGCCTTCATTACCCTGTCTTACCAAATCCCCGCCAGATCTTTCCCATTTCCCTTACCCCTCCTCTCCCTCCACCCACCAAATTGTATGACCCTGTGGTTTTCCCCCACCCTGCCCACCCTCAGCCCTCTGTTCCCATCCTGTCCCCCCTTGGACTTCCATACACATTTTACTAGTTACCCTTCTATTTTCATAATAATGGTCCTGTACAGTATTTCTCCTTATGAAACTGAGTTAATTCACTCAGAGTAATGCCCTCCAATCTCTCCCAAGTTATGTAGTAATTTTAAAAATCACTGCCCCTAAGTGCTGCATGTGAATGTACCATAGTTTCTCAATCCATTTGACTGTGGTTGGATATGGAAATTTTTAATGGCAGTCATTTTGGAGAAAGGCTTATGAAATCTATTTCTTTAGAAAGAAATTGGAAATGAAAATTGTGCTGTGAGACATTTGAAGTTATTTACACTTCAACAGATCCAACTCTTTAATGTGCCCTCATCCAAGCACTGTTCTTAAGGCATTCTCTGCCTTTCATTTTGACTGTATAATTTGGTGGTGCTGACTGCATTCACATGATGCTATGAACATCCTAGCATACGTGTTTTGATGGCTGCATACTTACTTACTTACTTGCTGGATATACACTTTGGAGCATAGTTGCTCAGTCATAGTATTTCCTGTTACAGTTTTTATTTTTAAAAGCAATACTACATTTCTACCAAAGCCTTGTAAAACGGAAATGATCTTGTGTAAATAATGAACTTATACAATATATCACCAACGCACTTATGCATCTCTTGTTGGCTTTATTACGTGTCAGCTTGGGACTGCTTGGTCTGCACAGCTGACGTCTACTTGCCCACAGAGGACAGTATGTTTATAAGGATGGCAAATAGTGCTTCTAAGTAACTAACATCAGGAAAATAAAAAATAGACAGTAACAGGTAACTACAGGGATGAACATAACACAATTATTAACTAAAAAGTGGTTAATGTTCCTCAAGTCAGTTCAAGTAGATTGATAAAATCACTAGGCATATCAAGTTTTTTGGATTTATCTATTACAAAAAGGCAAGTGTTTAATAATCATATAAACAGAGGTAGTTTTCTCTAGAAACACACATATATTTTTTTTCCTGAGAATAAAAATACAGAAACAATCTAAACTCATCTCAAACATTTAATGGTATCTTTTAATGAGAAACATAATTTTGAGGTGAAACTGGTGAGCCACTCTCTAGTCATATGTAACAATAATTAACTAATAGCCATATGAATCATGTATGTGAAGTTAAAAAATAGACTTAATGTAAAGTTTAAAGAGGAAATAAAGTTAAACACACAGCACAGTAACAAATTTAAGGCAAAAAGCATGTGTGCAAAGCCCACAGGGCAACAACCCAAGAGACACTGCTGGGCAATGACATGAAAAAGCCATATTCTTTTTTGAAGTGCTACTTCTCCTTGCTTTAGTGTTTTCGCCTTTTTAAATGCGTTCCCCATTACCAAATATCAAGCCACACTCTAAAGTGAATATAGAAAATGCCAGTGTGGAGAATGCACAGCATGGAGAAGCCAACAAGAAGGGACAGGTAACACACCAGGTGACAAGAGGTGGGAAGCAATGAAGCAGTGGTTACAAAAGTTCACAGGAAGCTACAGATAAACAGCAAGTTGTACCCTAATGTTATACAGAACTCGTTGCTACCCTGGTGGGTGGTCCCACTGGGTTTAGTTCAGATTCTACATCAGCACAATTTCTTCCAGTTAAAGAGGAAAAAAAATCAATTTTAGATTTTCTTTTTTGAGAGCAATAACTCAAATAAGCAAACAACACAGTTTAACTCAGCGTATGAAGGACTACCTGATGATGATGATGCGATGAGAGGGAAAACAGACAAACAATATAGTTCTACTAATAAAGCATCTTATAAACACTTAAGTTTTATTTGGGATTTTCCAAAGTGTGAAGGTGACAGCATTAAGTTTCAAATACAGAAAAAGAGCACCTTTCCTGAAAGAAAATGCCCAGGCAGCATTTCCTACCTCATAGCAGTACTGCTGAACTTTATGCAGAACTTTGTTTAGGTCCTTGTTGAGCTGTTCAAGCTCGAGAACAATGGTGGCATATCTCCGCTGAAAGTCAATGCCAATTGGCATGGAATACGATTTCTGAATGGGGGGGGGAACAAGATTTTGAGAAGTTATTTCCTTTTCTTGTTTTGGTAATGCAATTTCAACAATCTAATAGGAGATTTGAGTTATCCATCACAAACAGAAAATATTTAAATTGCCTACATCCAGTATTCCTGTGTGTGATAATGGTATTAATGCCACTTAGGTGATGGGCTCATTTCCTACAAGTGTCATAATATCTGCCATTTAACTTAAAAACAGAGCTACAAGAAGAAAAAGCAAATTAAACAAAGTGTTACTTAACTAACTCAGTGCCATCTAGTTGGAACTGACCAAGAGCTGGCCCCTTGTGGATTTGCAGAGTGTAAATTTCATGGGAAGAGACTGTTCACTTTTCTCATTGGGGCAGGTGGAGGATTCGAACCACCTGCCTTTGTGTTGGTGGCCTAAACGGTAACAGTTGAATTTCTATTCATGTTCCCAATATTAATCTCACTTTTCCCATCAGTGTTTAAAAACATAATGAATATATACATGTTACAAATATTTTACTACCAATGGCCAGGTCATGGTGACCAGTTTAACTTCTTCTTTTTTTTTTTTAATATATATATTTTTTAAATTTTTATTATTTTTGTGTGAGTGTACCGTCAAATCAGATCTGACTGGTACAGGAGGAGATTGACCCTCCTTCCCCGGCAGAGCATCTGGCGAATTCGAACCGTGAGCCTCTGCGATTGTAGTTGCAGCTCCTTACCACTAGGCCACCAGAGCTCCCCTTTAACTTCTTTTAATAAAGCATTTACTTGGTTTACACTGTGATACTTAAATACAGTAACATGAATGAGTAAAATGTTACAGATTTTAGGTAAGTTGGAAAGTCTCTAAATTAACTGTTGTCCACATTTGCTTTCTTTAGAGATCATGGATATGATGTCTCTGAAGTACAACTTTAGTGCTACATGCATTTTGCCACTATGCTAACAAGTATCTTCTACACATCGACCTAAAATTATTTATTCTGTTCATAGTAAATTTGGTTACAGATTGAACTAACAGAGAAGCTTGTGGGTAGGTAGTCATTCCCACTTACAGGCTTTATGCATAATTTTCATAATTAGTCTACAGACTCTACTGCATCTCTTGTAGTCAGTTAAGAATGTAAATCCGTTTGCATTCCAGGAATCACTCATCCCTGGCTGTGGCGATGCAGCTTTGTAATACACTGCTCAATTCCATTTGCTGTTTCTTATTCAGGATCTCTGCATCTGCCTGTGCTCAGGAACGGAAAAGCCTGAGTGTGCACTGGGTAAGTGCTCAGCTGTGAGTAGGTCTGAACCTAGCAGCTGTTCTGTGTAAGAAAAGAGCTGAGGGACAATCTCCTCGTACCAGTCAGATCTGATTTGACGGTACATAGACACACAAAAATAATAATAATAAAAAATTTTTTAAAAATGTTCAAAAGCTTTTTTTTAAAAAAGAAAAGAGCTGAAAAATCTGATCCCATGAAGATCAGAGCTTTGGGAATCTAGGGGGCTGTTCTACTCTGCTAAGCAGGGCTGCTGTGAGTTGGAATCAGCTCAGTGGTAACAGTAGTAGTAGGTGCATGAAGGAGGTAAATTTGCAACCTTGTAACCTTTGTAACGTCTTTTCTGGGTTTTGTTACAAATAATTAAAAAATAAAACAATTTGGACTCATGTCATGACAGTAATACCTAATCATATATACATTTTTGTTCTCTCTCTCATCTGTTTCAATGCAGTATACATAACTTATCCCATGTTTAGGTTTTATTGTCATGACAGGAGTCCAGACAAAGGCTGCATAGTGGAGTGGACTTGGGGGAAGGGACTGTATAACAATGGAAGAATTTCTCTTTTACTTTTCAAAGAGAAGAATGAACTGGAGGGGAGGGATGGGCAGGGAGAAAATTGCATCAATGAATGAATGGAAATCCAAAATCTCTGTAAATTTTCATTAAAATTAATAATAATAAAAAACAAACAAACAACCCCCCCCAAAACAAAACAAAACAAGACACCAATCTGGGAAGCATGCTCATTTTCCCACTTCCTACAAGCATTTTGAAGGACAGTATTTGGTAACATTTACTGCTTTGGAGAAAGTCAATCTGCAGCTGCAGTCTCTCTGTGGGCACATTTTATAATTCTGGATTCACTCAGAAGTGTGTCTCTGTCGACAAGCTGTATCTTTGAAGAAATCTGTTGATACCATCTTACTTTTCAAATCAAAGTGCAGAAAGCAGTTACAATCTCCTCCTTACTGTTTTTTTGGTGTCAGCTACTTGTCCCTTTCGATTGCTTTTTCCTGACGGAGAATGTCGGTTTTATCAACTATATTTGCTCTTCCCAAGAACGAACTTTCCATTTTGCTGATCCACTCTTACATTTGCTTCCTATTCTATGAATTTCATCTTTATATTGAAAACCAAATTGCTGCTATCCAGTTGAGGATCCAGTTGATCCTGTCACTGAAAGCCACAGCAGAGCTGCTGCGTATAGTTGACTTGAACTGTCAACCTTATGGTTAGTGACTCAACACACTCCACTCCACTTCCTGGGCTCCTTCCATCTCTACATAAGTATTTTTAAATTCTTATACAGCAAGCTCCACCATTTCTAAATTAAAGAACTAAAAGGAAAAAACCAAACAGATTCTTACCAATTTTTCTGCTTCTGTGTTCATTTCCCTTAATTTCTTGATGTGTTCCTTTTTAATCATGAGGATTTTTGATAACTTGGTCTACAGACAAACAAAAATGTTGTTGGATTAAATACAGACATTTAAGTATTTCCAATTCTTTACTAAGATACTCTAATAATTTAATTTTAGTGTTTAAATATACAAATAGCAACATCTTTTATTTTTATAAAATCCATTATAACCAAACATGTTAAAAAAAAAGCTGAAGAGGCAATATGAACAGGCTCCCACTGGCCAAAAATATGATAGTTCACCCATCAGTAAGAGTAACAACTGCAAAATTTGGAAGCATAAATATGTTAAAACACATAGTTTATAATATTTTAAAAGGTATCTACTGTTGGAGAATACTAGGAACCAAACGAATTATTTTCTAAATGGAAAAAAAATAATCACAAAAGCAAAAACCACCAACCAAGTATTTATTTTGGCTTTCTTACACAATGTACCTACCATCAGTAAACCAAGTAATTGGCCTGGCAAAATTTTTCTTTATAGAACTATTTTAGGCAGTAAACAAAAAATGTCACAACTAAACACCACCATTTTGTAACACTAAGGAGTAAAAATGTAAGCTCTAGTCATCACAGCTGCTAACAGCATGAGAAAAAGAAATAAAATTATTATAGGCCTGAGAAGTTAGAGGACTTAGGTAGGCCTGATTTAGCCCAAGGTCTTTTCAATCACTTGCTATGCATCAGAGAGATGGACAATGACTAAGAATGACAGATGAAGAGCTGGTACCTTTAAGCTGTAGTGCTGGAGAAGAGTGCTGAATATGCCATGAAATGCTAAAAGAACAAACAGATATGGCTTGGAGAAGGTGCAGCCAGAGTGCTCCTTGGAGGTAAAGATGATGAAGCTTCGTCTCACATACTTTGGGCATGTGGCTAGAAGAGGTTATTCCTTGGAGAAGGACATAATGCTTGGCAAAGTGGAGGAATGAAGAAGAGGAGGAAAACCCTCAACCAGGTGGGTTGACACAGTGACTGCAGCAATGGGCTCAAGTGTGTCAGAGATGATGAAGATGACACAGGATAGGACAGGGTTCAGATCTGTTGTTCAAAGTGTCGCTATGAGTCATACTTGATTCTATGGAACCAATAAAAACAACAACAACAACAGTAACATGACAACCATCAATGAAAGTATTATTGCCAAAACAACTATGAGATATCATCTCACCCAAGTCAGAGTAGCAAAATTTAACAGAACAGCAAACAACAAATGCTGGCGAGGTTGTGGAGAAACTGGAACTCTTATTCACTGTTGGTGAGAGTGTACAATGATGCAACCACTGTGGAAGGCGGTATGGCACTTTCTCAAAAAGTTGCAAAGAGATACCATTTGACCCAGCAATTCCAATACTATAATGCCCCAAAGAGACAATAACTGACACCCAAGCAGATATATGCACACCCATGTTTATTATCGTGGCTTTGTTCACAATAGCAAGGAGCTGTAAACAACCTAAGTGCCCATCAACAAACGAATGGATAGAGAAGCCACGGTATATTCACACAATGGAATACTACGTACGCTGCATTGAAAAACAAGGAACTCATGCAATATTATTCAAAATGGGTGACCCTGGAGGACATTATGCTGAGTGAAGTATCACAGTCACAAAATGACAAATACTGAATGGTGCCACTGTTGTAAAACAGGACTGACCTTGTGGTTGGGGGGAGACTGAGAAAGATGGGTTCAATAATGTATACTGCATTGAGACAGATGAGGGAGAAAATGGTTTAAAAGGGATATAAGATTAGGTATTTTTGTCATGATAGGAGTCCAGAGCAAAGGCTGTATAGTGGAGTGGACCTGGGGGGAGGGATTGTAAAACAATGAAAGAATTTTTCTTTTACTTTTCCAAGAGGGTAGTGTACTGGGCGGGGGGGAGGGTTGGGAGGAGAGAATGAATGGAAATCCAAAGTCTCTGTAAATTTTCATTGAAATTAATAATAAAAAAAAATTGAAAGAAAGTATTGTTGCTATATGCTGTCAAGTTGGAACCAACTTAGAGCTGACCCTCTAGCAGATTTTCAGAGGCTGTAAATCACAGGAGATCGACCACTGTTGGACAGGAACCTCCTGTCTGTCAGTTGGCAGTGATTTGCCTTCTTTATCCTCTATGTCATCAGAGCTCTCCACCTATAACCGAAAAATAAATCACTCAAACCAAAAAATTAAAATCTAATAAAAAAACTTTAGATGCCATTACCAAAACACAGAAGAAAATGTAGAATGATACCACAAGGATTCAATCAGCAAAATCCTGATTATGTCAAATCTGACACACCAGCACAGACAAACCGAACTAGGGTGCTTGGGTGGCCTAGTTGTAAGAAGCTGTGCTGCAATCCCAAAGGCAATGGTTTGAATCCACTAGCTGATTCGCCTGAAAAAGAGGACAATCTTATCCCGTAAAATTTACTGCCTTGGAAAACACCCACTGGAGGCTCAGCTAGGAGATGGTCTGACCCCACAGCACACAACAAAAACAACAACCGACAAACACTTCAGCTTCTTGAACAAAAACCTGCAGGAGGCAGAGAGCATTTAATATTTGAGAACTGGAATATTTGAAGACTGGATATTTAGTGATATTAAGAAGTATCTTAATTTTTTGAGGTGTATTAATCGAGAAGCTGGACTCTTTAAAAATGTGGCATTAGGAATCTGAGAAAGACTCATCAACAATTTGCATAACGCAGCTGACACACCCTTGTGTTAGCTGGAAGTGTGAAGACGTATTTGCAGTGAAGATCAGACTACAGCCTTCAATACGGGTGAGAGCACAACATCAAGAAAAGAAAACAGCCTCACTGCTGGGCCACATCATGACAGATGAGAAAGGACTGAAGTCGTCAATGATTTCATCTTACTGTGATCTACAGTCACCCTGAGTGCCAGCAGTCAAGAAATCAAAAGACATATTGTACTGGGGAAATCTGCTATCAGGGATGTCTCCAAAGTGATAAAGAGCAAGGAGGAGATCAGTTTAAAAACCAGCACTGACTAAAGTCATGCTCTTCTCAGTCACATGCTATGCATATGAAAAGCTGGACAATGACTAAGAATGACAGAAGAATTGATGCCTTTGAACTGTGGTGCTGGAGAAGAGCACTGACTATCCCATGGACAGTCAAGAGAACCAACAGGTCTGTCTTGGAGAAAGTAAAATCAGACTATTCTTCAGAAGCAAGGATGGTAAAACCTCCTCTCACCAACTTTGGCCATATAGTTAAGGAGGGACCAGTCAGAGATGTCAATAGACAAGACTTGTTCGTTCTCTTGGCCATCCATGGGACATTCAGCTTTCTTCTCTAACACCACAGCTCAAAGGCCTTGATTCTTCTCCTGTCACCCTTATTCACTGTCCAGCTCTCAGACGCACAGGAAGTAACTGAAAAGACCATGGCTTGAATCTGGTGTGCTTTGGTCTATAAAGTGACCTTGCTACTTCCTAACACCTTGGAGAAGTCCTAGCCAGCAGACTTCCCAGCACAACACGTCTTCTGATTTCTTCACGGAGATGTTTATTATATAATTCTTTCTACCCTTTCTATGCCTTAAATTTTCCATAATGAAAAAATGATCTAGGTTGATGTAGGCAAAAAGCATGATGAGACAGATGCTAAGCGTATTTCCTCAGGTCTGTGTATGGTCTCAGTAGGTCTCCTGAGGTGGTTAGTTTTACAGAAGGTCATGGTTTTTAGAAGCATGGAAAGCACCAAGAAGAGCCGGAAGGGGGCAGGTGACCTCCCTCGACTAAGTTCTGCTTGTCTTAGGTTGTGGGCCTGTTGTTGATGACTATCATGCTGCTTTAATTCTTAATTAAATTTACTTTAATTTTTAAAACTGGAACATCACTAAGGAGCAGAGGAGTCATTTCTAAGATTGTTCGCATTTCTTGTAGGTGTCAGTTCGCTGGGGAGTGGCCAGGCAGCTCACAGCGGCCCCGTGGAGCAGAGGAACCATCACGTGGAGTTCGTAGGCTGTAATAAGGAAGAAGCCGCTGGTGGACTGGCACTGTCTACCTTTTGGTGGCAAACCAAGTGCTTAGCCATTGTGCCATTATCCTCAGGAAAAGAAAAGTTTCCTCAACAAGTAAATTTATTATAATTTTAAAAAAACTAATTTATTGTGTCATAAGAAACAGAATATGAGGAACATAAAAAAAATCCAGATAATAACCTCTCAATCTACTTTAAAGCTTAAAGTAAGGAAAGTAAAATAAGAAAAGTAAAGCAGCACTCTGTGAAATGTCAAGCCCTAAAAGAGAACCCTTCCACCAAGCCGCCTGTGAGCCTCCTGACCCCCCAGGACACACAGAGCAGCCGGGGGTGGGGGGGTGGGGAAGGGCTGCACAGTGGTGTTTACACATCACCTTTCTCCCCAGTTAAGTGCTTTCAGCACTGTGTCATCAGATCACTTTGTAAAACCTTAAAGACCACAAGGTAATGTTTTAACCTTAAAGACCACAAGGTAACGTTTCACAACTTTCTGTGTTGGTTTTGTGGCTTCTTTTTTTTTTATTTCTTATTTTGTGTGTGTGTACCATCAAATCAGATCTGATTGGTACAGGAGGAGAGTGCCCCTTCTTCTCCAGCAGAGCACCTGGTGGATTTGAACCACACACCTCTGGGATTGCAGTGCAGCTTCTTGCTACTAGAACACCAGAGCACCTTTGTGGCTTCTTTTTAAAGCTTAAAATGACCTCTAAGATACCTTAATAGTTAAACTGAGGTTAACAAAAAGATCACAAAGTTAAAATTAAGCACCAAAAGCAAACACATATACATGAGTAAAAATACCAAGATTGTAAAACTGAAAAAGCAAACCTGCTGTCAACATCAATGCAGGGACAGAGCAGAACTGCCGCAGGGTCTGCATAGATCTAGAGAGACACACTGCCCCGTCTTTCTCTTGCAGAGTGGTTGGTACAATCGAACTGCCAACCTCCTGGTGAGTTAATCACTGAGCCAGCAGGGTCAAGGGCATGACCTCTGCTGTTGTGATCACAGCAGCCCCTGAGACTGCCCCACATGGGTCTACACTGCGGAAATGCGCGCAAGCACCTGTGCCTTGAAGCAGAGCACCTCCACAGAGTGTCAGTCCACTGTTGCCCGGGCGGTGCCGGTGTAGAGCATCCCTGCAGGACAAAGCAGACCAGATCTATATAGAAGCAGGAAGCAAACTGCCTAATCCTGTGGACCAGATGGTGGATTCGAATTATGGATTTTTAAGTTAGCAGCCTAACAATTCACTGTGCAACTAGGGCTCCTTATTAATTAAGAGTGCCAAACCCATTGTCCAGGAATTGATTCTTTCTCATATTGACCCTCTATTGCGTTTCTGAGGTCATAAATCTTCACAGGAAGAGACCACCTATCTTCCTCTGGATTTGAACCATCAAGCCCTCAGGTTATCACTCTGCTGTGTACACCCTACACTGTGGGCTCCTTATCAAGAGTGCTGTAGCACACTGTGAGAAACAATAGAGAGCTTATTTTCTAGCTCCCTCTGGTGGTCAATTCGCTGTCTCTATCTCCACCTTCATTTTTACAAGTTTTAAAAAAATATTCTATTTGTAAAAAGAACAAAAAGCATTCTGCATGTGGATATTTTCCTGTTATCAACCTTTGATATAAAAATATCTTCTTTGGGCCTTTTTTACGAAGATGGTGCCGAAAGCGAAGAAGGAAGTCCCTGCCCCTCCTAAAACTGAAGCCAAAGCAAAGGCATTAAAGGGGCCAAGAAGGCAGTTCTGAAGGGCATCCACAGTCAAAAAAAAAAAAATCATCTGCACATCACCCACCTTCCGGCAGCCTAAGACACTGAGACTCCACAGGCAGCCCAAATACCCCCGGAAGAGTGCCCCCAGGGGAAACAAGCTTGACCACTATGCCATCATCAAATTTCCCCTAACCACTGAGTCGGCCATGAAGAAGATAGAAGATAACAACACACTTGTGTTCACTGTGGATGTCAAGGCCAACAAGCACCAAATCAAACAAGCTGTAAAGAAGCTCTGTGACACTGATGTGGGTGGCTAAGGTCAACACTTCGATTAGGCCTGATGGAGAGAAGAAGGCCTATGTTCGACTTGCTCCTGACTAGGATGCTTTGGATGTTGCCAACGAAATTGGGGTCCTCTAAACTGAGTCCAGCTGGCTAATTCTAAATACAAGTTTTTCTCACCTTTAAAAAAAAAATAAAATAAAATAAAACAATCAATAAGAGTGCATCTAAATTCCAAAATCAATCTCCATAATAGTCTATGTGTTTCCTACTGCCAAAGGGGCCCTTTAGAGTAGTGAGAGAAGATCTTCACCATGAAACCCACAGCGTCCCTTTTCAGCAGGAAGTAGCTAAGAGAATACGCCATCCCCTTTTCCTTGTAACTCAGGGTGAAGTCTCTCTCAGGGAGGAGTGATAGGGAATGGCAAAGGACACACTGACAAAGAAGATTAATCAGAACTGGCTTTGACAAGCACTGTGGCATTTGGACAAGAACAAACTGGGAGGAGGGTAGAGAGAATAGTGCAACAATGAATGAATGGAAACCCAAAATCTCTGTAAATGTTTATGAAAATTAATAAAATATAATTATAGAAAAAAAAATAAAATAAATCTTCTTTGGAAGCCAAAAGGTAGAAAGTGTAAGGAATGTTATGTCCCAAGAGTAACTAACCATGTTATCTATGGTTGAGAAACACAGAATGCTATACACACAAACATACATGTGCACACAAATCAATGTGGAGGGAAGCCTTAATCTGTGACTATTTCAGTGAATTATGGTATAAACACTTGATTGCTATGAGCTGGGATCAGCTGCAGAACAATCTGTTTTGGTTCTGGTTTTATCCTAAAGGATCAGTGTGCGCCGCAAAAACTCAATGGCAATGAATTGAAGACAAAGTATTTTTTTCCTTTTTAAAAAGGAAAATGAAGAGGAAAAAGTAAAATTTTATTAGACTATGACTAAAACAAAGTTAACTTTTAAAAACTCTAATTTTCAGCCCTAACTAATGTTTAAATAATAATAGTGTTCATTACACCTGGCCTGGTTCTTGGGGGAAATGTTCTAGTTATTTCTCAACTTGTCTCAACTTAGGTTTATTAGTATCCTGTATTTAATTATTTAGCAAATTAATACTGTTTCTTAATAAAAGTCTCAATAAAAGAAAAAATTCCTTTTCATTAACTAGCTAGCTCTGACAAAAACTATTCAAGAGCTAAAGTCACTAAATAGTGGACAAGCCGTCACAATACACAAATTATCAGCAGTGACCATTTAGAGTTTCATAGGACATAAACCGGAACATATGAGTCTTTAAAAATAGTGGAAATAATGAGACCCAAGCCAAGAAAAAAATCCACAAAAAGTCTCAAGGCCTTTTTCGGTGCTGTGTATCATTTCAAGCTACGTTGGAAACAACAAGAGTGTTGAAAGCCAATAAAATGTTTTTGGTTTTGTTTTTTTTTTTAAAATCCAGTATGTAAAAATATTTGGTTGTAGAAAAAAATTCAACTTTAACAACAAAAATAACTTTAACTGATCTTTTTAACAGGCACCCAAGACATGTAAAGTGCTGCTTACCACTTGAATTAGGAACTCCACTGGAAAACCGCCTAACGTTTCCATGTCAGAGCCAGAACTTTTATTTCTCCATGGTGACTGTCCTAACAAAGGATCGTTATCCTGTGAGAACAAAAGGGACACTGCTAACATTGACTCTTTAGAAATTACTGTCAGACTAAGAAAATATCTATTACAGCTATTCCAATACCAAAAATACTGCCAGACAGTAGTTCCAGAATGGAGGCAACTCTTTTGTTCATACTTAGTTCATATTTGACAACTCAAAATCATTTGCATCACTCCTAAGTTGGAGTACTGTGTATTTCCCAAGAATACAGTTCATGTAAAATAATTATCATTAATCAGTGACAAAGTTTCTCGCTTTCACTCACCGTTATCGGTGACTGGAGTGGTGGTGTATAAGGTAACCGTGGGGGTGTCAGGTAAAACCGAGAGGGCCGCTGTTTTTGTCCAAAGGCAGCAATTGGCATTGTCTCATGAGGTTCGTTACTCTTGGGAAAAAGAGAATAGTACACAGACTGAAAAAGAACTTTACCAATAGTTGACACTAAATAAACATCCTATTTCAGCTTGAGCGATAGATGAATTCATATGATAAGAATTCTGAGAAGTTTCTCTACAAAGACTAGAACTGGAGTCAATGTATGAAAATTCTTATTTTGCTATCAGAAGCTGAACCCATAAAAAAGAATTAAGGCAAACTGGATAAAATATGTTTACAGCATTGAAGTCTATGGGGGAGAGAATAGTTTAAAAGTATTATATTTTAGAGCATTATGTTTATCGTAAGAGTACGGAATGAGGGTTGCAGAGTGGATTATATTTGGGGTTGGGGGTGTGGTTGGGGGATGTGCGGAGGTGGGTATTGTGGGAGTTTTTCTTTTGCTTTTCAAGGAGAGGAGCAAACGGGGGCGTGCATGGGCAGGGAGAAGGGTGCAACAATGAATGAATGGAATTCCAAAATCTCTGTATATGTTCATTGAAATGAAAAATAAATAAAAAGAACTCTAGCAAAAAAACCCCCAAAAAACAAAAAAAAAAAGAATTAAGGGGAGTAATATATATATACTAAGACTCAATAAAGAATCTAAGATTACATTGTTCTATGGACAACTTTGTCTAAAAGATTATGTGAATAGCTTCTATTTTAATTATATTTTATTTGATGGTCTAAAAAACAAACACTAGTAACACAGAAACACAATCTTCCTCGCTTTTGAAAGAAGAGGTTTAAATATTTTATCATTTAACATAAATTTAGGAATGTGTACTTTGCCCTTTACTTAGTGTAAATTTCTCTTCTCTACTTCTCTTCCTTATAGGAGATAAATGAACAAAGAGCCAGTTTTTAAATGTACTCAGCAGAATAGGAAGCCTCAGCTCTTCTATTTTTTCATTGAGAAACTGGAGAAATTTTGATCTAAATCAAATTAATAACAAAGAAAGGAGAAGAGAGAAACAAAATGAACAAACTTTCATAATACCTAGAACAGTCTATTTTATCATTATTCACTTTAAAAAACTTTAATTATATTTCCTAGTTGTTAAACTATTTTGACTCATTAAAATAATATATCAAGGGGGCAAGGAGTGGGCAGGGAGAAAAGTGCAACAAGGAATGAATGGCAATCCAAAGTCTCTAAATTTTCATTGAAATTAATAATAAAAAAATTAATTAAAATAATACTATATAACTTGAAAGAGACTGCATTATATTGAGTGAATTAACTCAGTCTCATAAGGACAAATATTGCCTAAGACCATTACAGTAAAAATAGAAGGACAACCAGTAAAACGTGTAGGGAGACCCAAGATGGAAATGGTTGGGAGCAGAGAGGTGAGGATGGGAAGAGGCAAAACCATAGGCTTGCACAGTCTGGTAGGTGGGTGGAAGAGGTAAAGGAAATGGGAAGGATCCATGGTGACCTGAAAAGGTAAGTAAGGTCCAATGGTGATTAATTTTATAAAACATAATGCATGGGAAGGATTGTAGGAAACACAATGTGAATGAAACATAGTGTGAAACACAATGTATATGAACTTCATAAGCAAATCAATATAAAAAAAAGTTTAAAAATATCATTGTATGACACTGCTAAATCAAGCATGATTAAGTGGCTTAGCTGGTTTAGTATTTCAGAAATTCAAAAGATATGGACTCAAGCCTTACCCAGGCAGGAAGCTGGTTCTAGGATCTTTGAACAAAGTACTTGACACATTTATGTGTAAATTTCATCATGCAGATCATGGGGTTCATTAACACCCAACTTACATAACTCTTACGGAACATATTTGGAAGTGAAGATATTATTTTATATTTTCAAAAGTATTTGCTTCTGCAGCTTTCATCACCATTCGTTAGGACTGACAGCTGTCACACTAACATGGGGAAGGTACAACAGTGGGGTCCAAACTATATCCTGTTCATGTTTCTAGAAAAGGTGGCTGATTAAGCATAGCAGGAGAAGGATGGGGGCTTTCACCTGTGCCTGAGAGGTCAAGAAAGCACGTTGGGAACTCCTGCAGATCTTGTCCACTGAGACCTGAAGTATTGAGTCTGTCACAAAAACAATTGCACAGCATAAAGCACAAATGTATTATGGAAAGTACTTACAAGAACTTCGTAGTCAGGGATGGTGTGGGTCCCAAGCCCTGTTCTGTCAAAAGTGACTCGGTAAGTAGCATTAAGAGTATCAACGGCATCTATCTGTCCAATGAACAGGCCATCGTGAACTCCGCGTAATCGTGCTGAGGGAAGAAACAAAGCTATGTGGTATCTGGGAGACACAGGAGTCATCATACGTGAAACTGCTCCTGGTACACCAGCGAACAGTTCACAGTACAGTATTCATGTCTAGCACAGCTTCCACACAGAATCAGAAGGAAATAAAGGTTTAAACAGTAACAAGGCTACACAGGATGACCATTAGTTTGCTTTAAATAAGAAAACAGAACTACTCAATTAGTTGGTTTTGTGTGGGTTGATGGGTTTTTTGGTTTTTTTTTGTGACATCCAAGTAAGTTTGATTTTAAAGGGAAAAAAATTTAAAACCATTATTTTAGAGCACAAATTGCAAAAATAGCTACGTAAGAGAACGTTTTCTTTATAAGCATGAGTTAAACATTATTAATTCAATTTCAAAAAGAAGATGGGAATGATGAGAAAGATGTTGTTCCAAAAAGAGGTAACATATTCTTGTTGGGTGTTGCTGCATTGAGTACACCCCACAGCAACCCTATGAGTCACAGACCTGAACTCTGTTCTATCCTGCGCCATCCTTATCATCCTCAACATATTTGAGTCCACTAGATCAATCCATGTTTTTGAGAGTCTTCCTGTCTTTCACTGACTCTCCACCTTTCCAAACATGATGTCCCTTTCCAAAGAAAAGCCGCTCCTAGCAACATGCCCAGAGTTTGTGAGACAAAGCTTCACATCTTTGCCTCAAAGGAATATTCTGGTTTGGAAATTATGGACTTAGGGAGAGAAAAAAGGCTAGAGATCGAATGACTGAGTTTTATATATTCAATGATTTATTCACAGAAAACACCTTTTTTCAGAAACACAAATGGCGACTATACACACGGCGTCTGTCCAGTTAGGACAGATACACAGGAGTAAGATTGACTATATCTGTGGAAAGAATCAGCAGTCAGAAACAGAGCAGGTGGTGACTGTGGAATTACTCATATGCAAGTTCAAATTGAGGTTAAAGAAAATGAAGTCCAGAAAAGCCAAAAGACAACCAAGAGAGTTAACATGGTGGTGTTAAATGCTGTCAAGTTGAGTATGACTCAAAGCGACCATTAGAACAGACCTGAATCCTGTCATATCCTGTGCCATTAAAAACAGATTATTTCTAATAGGGTCATAAGAATAATGGAGTTCTTAACTAACCAAAACTATTTAGAGGAAAGGAAAATCAATAATTTGGGTGCAACAGACAAAATTATTTAAAAGAAGTCAAGTAAACATATATTCATATCTACTAATCTACTGAAGATCTCGCTGAAGTGTTAACAGCAGTGAAAAAGGAATTCTGGTGGTGTAGTGTATTATGTTTTGGATGGGACCTGAAAGGTCCACAGTTCAAACCCACCAACCCTCCCTGGGAGATGACAGGCAATCTCCTCCCAAGAAGATTTACAGCCTTTGAAATGGGATGTAGGGTAACAAACTTGGAATCAACTCAATGGCACTAAGCTATTTAATGTGATTTTTTTTTTAAAAGGGAGAGGTAACTCCCATAAAGTTTTAATAGCAAAGCTCTTGCTCTGATGACTGAGGCACACCTGACTCTGTTGTTATTGCTGATAGGTGCCACTGAGTGATGCCCAAGAGAAAGGGAACCCCGCCCAGCCTGGCTCCATCCTCTCCTAATTGTCTTTCTGGTCACTTCAATGCACACGGATGCTACACGAGGAAAGACAGAGGAGGACAGAATCGGCACACTCGCAGAGTGGTTGTGGTGAAGAATACAGACTACCCTGTGGGCTAGAGAAGAACAGCAAGCGGAATCAACTTTAGGAGCAATACCACCAGCGGGCTTCTTGTAAGCGAAGATGCCAAGATTTCAGCTCACGTATTTTACAACATAAAAATGACATCTTCCTTGGTAGAGAGTCCAAGAAAATGTGGAACTCCTCCATGAGATAAAGGGACACAACACTTAGAACAAAAGGCCTCCACAATCATCAAGAGGGCCTAAGCCCTGTGGAACACCTGTGTTTTATGTCAAGTTAGCATGTACACCAGGGATGTGTCCTATCTCCATACCTTTTCAACCTATGTTCAGAACAGACTATCTGGGAGGCTGGGCTGTATGAGGAGAAGTGTGGCTGGCATAAGGATTGGTGGAAGATCTAACAATTTGTGTTATGCAGACGACACAACCCTGCTTGCTGAAACTGAGAACGACCTGAAGCGCTTGCTGCTGAGGGTCAAGGACTGCAGCCTTCAATATGGATTGAGGCTCTATGTCAAGAAGACAAAGATTATCACCACTGGACCAATTGGCAGCATCAGGATGGATGGCGAAGAGATTGAGATTGTACACAGCTTTAGTTTGCTTGGCTCCATAGTCAACACTCTTGGTGACAGGAAATTAAAAGATGTATTGCGATGGGAAAGTCTGCTGTTAGGGACCTCTCCAAAGTACTGAAGAGCAATGGTGTCACTCTGGAGACTAAGGTGCACCTGATACAGTCCATGGGCTCTGCAATCACTTGTTATATGTCAGAGAGTTGGACAATGACTAGGGAGGATGGAAGGAGAATTGATACCTTTGAGCTGTGGTGCTGGAGAAGAGTACTGAAAGTACCATGGACTGCTAAGAAAACGAACAGGTTCATCCTGGAAAGGGTTAAACCAGGCTGCTCCTTGGAGGCAAGAATTCTGAGGCTTCATCTCACACACCCTGGACATGCTGTAAGGAGGGACCAGTCCTTGGAGAGGGACAGCGCAGGAGGGGAAGACCCTCTATGAGGAGGATTGATTCAGTGACTGGGATAATCAGGATGGGAGTGTCAGAGGCAGTGTGACTGGCACAGGATAGAGCAGGGTTTAGGGCTGTTGTACATAGGGTCGCTATGAGTCGCAAATGACTCGATGGCACATAACAACAACAGTATGAGTTAACGCTAACTCAATGGCAGCCACTAACTTAAGAGCCGTTAAGTTGTATTCATTCCATCGTGGCTGCAGTCTGCCTTACTTTATACTGGAGCAGATAATCCTGTGAACCAGAACACTTTATTCCCTTTAAAAACAGACCACACATGACATGACAAACAGAAACCTCTACAGGAACAGTGGCAGAACTACAGGTATGTAAACTCTAATTCTAAAGTCATTCTGCCAGTAAAGGTTGTCCTGGTGAAAAACGAAGAACTAAAATTCCCCTCAGACGCCTGCACTCACCTGTCACTTTAGTTCCAATAACCAGGGGCAGTGGAATCTCATCTGGGAGGTCTTTAAATTGTGAAACATCAGCCACCTTCCTTTGTTGTAAGAGCCTTATTTTCTGTCTTTTCTGTTTTAATGCTGACCTCTCTTCCTCAAAAAATGCAGAAGAACATCTAGAATTATAAAAATCACATCAACTGAAAGCTGTCCAGTGCAACAGCGTAAAACCTGTGCGCCCCTCTCTTCTATCATTCTTCTGAGTACTGCACTTAAACACAGCCCCTTAGAGCACTTTCTCTCCAAATTAAATCACCTTTAATACTTTTAAAAACAGGACCTTGCAAGAACGCAAAAACGTATAGGCTCACAGGCCTCGTTTATTTCTTCATATGAAGGAGGAGGGTTTGTGTACTACCTCGTGCAAAACCGTGCCTGAATCCCAGGTCTCTTTAAGTTCAAAGTTTAATTTCAACACTCTGTCCAGAAAAACATGTTATCTTCCCAGTGACCACGGGTATATTAATATAGGAATTAAAGAGACCCATCACCACACAAACTTTCAGTTATACTTCCTGTCTAGAAATCTAAATACTGACTTCACTTTCCATTTCTAAGGCCTGTTCTGTCTCCATATTTATTTGAGGATGAATCAAAAGTATTTTAACATGGCTTTCAGTCATGGTGTGTGGTACATAATAACCTCTACTTAGAGTGAGATGAACAGGAGTCCCAGAACACTTGATTGTGCTCATGAGGAACTGTCAGAGCAAGGGAACACTGTATGGCTTATAATAAAAAAAAGATGTGCATCAGGGATGCATCCTTAACCATACTTATTCAATGTATATGCTGAACAGATCATTTGAGAGGCTACACCTTATGAAGAAGAATGTGACATCAAAATCAGAGGAAGAAAAAAAAAAGATCAGAGGAAGACTCATCAACAATGCGCTATTCTGACGACACAACCTTACTCACAGAAACTGAGGACTTGAAGTGCTTGCTGCAGAAGATCAAGGACTGTAGAGTTCAACACAGATTGCATTGCAACATCAAGAAAACAAAACTCCTCACCACTGGGCCTTCATGATAGAAGGAGAAAAGATTAAGGCTGGAGAAATGTACTGAAAATCCTATGGAATGCCAAGAGAACAAACAGCTCTGTCTTGTACAAAGTGAAACCAAGGTGCTCCTTGGAGGCAAGGATGGTCTCTTGTACCATGGGCATGTTAGCAGGAGAGGCCAGTTCCTGGAGAAGGACCTCATGCTTGGAAACATAGAGGGTCAGCATAAGAACGGAAGACCTCTAACAAGATGGATTGACATGCTGACTCCAACAATGAGCTTGAGTGCACTGGAGATGGCACTCCGTCCATGGTGAGGATGGTACAGGACAGAGCAAGACTCACATCCACTGGTCATTGTGAACTCAATGGCACAGAGCAGTCGACATCATTGAACCCACCCATTAGTTCCACACAAGGTTTGCTGATCTGTTTCTACAGAGATGACAGCCAAGAAAACACCATGAGGCATACTGTGTCACATTGGCTGCCTCAACACCCAGTCAGCTTGACCCACTCTTCCAACAGTTGAGGGTTCTAATCGGCCTGCCTGGACCTGAGCCTTATGATTTCCTGTAACGGAAACCCTACACTATCAAGTTACTCAGTGTCGTAACAGCAGTAGTGAGTCCTTGCACCTCTTGGCCATGTTCCATAATTCCCTGTGATAAAAACCATCTTCTCCCCACATGAATGTCCCAGAAAGCCTCAAGATTTCAGCCTCAGAAGACTGGCCGAGTCCACCTTGCTGCCCTTTCCTCCTGACTTAGTCTGTTGCTGTCCTGCCCTGGGAGCGAGCTCAGTGGTCCTTTGTGAGCCACGGTGTAGTTTCCCCTGGGACCTGTGAGGACTAAATACTGTTCAGTTTTGGCTTTCCTGCTGGAGTCTCCCTTCCTACTGCTGCTCCTGAGACATGTAAGAGCACAGACCCTCTATGTGACAAATTTAAGACACCATAGAAGAGCCTTTCCCCTTCACCACAAAGCACCCTTCAGCAGTCTTCTTGGCATTTAAAATCCAGGACCTAGATTATTCCCCTCAATTTTGGTGTCATAATTTTATTTCCCTCCATACCATGATTCTCACACTTCCTCTCTTGTTCTTTCCTGAAATAATTTTTTATTTTTAACAGATTTATGAAGTATACTTGGCACTGTTGTTTTTAGGTGCCATGATGTTGAGTCTGACTCATAGCATCCCTATAAATGACAGGGAGGAACCGTGTCCTATCCTGTGCCATCCTCATCATCTCAGACATACTTGAACCCATTACTGCAGTCACTATGTCAACCTACATGACTGACAGTCTTCTTCTCCAACCTTCCACCTTTCTAAGCATGATTCTCTAAGGAATAGCCTTTTCAAGCAACATGCCCAAAGCATGTCAGATAAAATGTTATCGTCCTTGCCTCCAAATAGCACTCTGGCTGTACCGTCTCCAAGACATAACTGTTTGTTCTTTCAGCCATCTATGGGATATTCAGCACTCTTCTCCAACATCACAGCTCAAAGGCATCTATTCTTCTCAAACGCATCTCAAGTGACTAAAAAGACCATGGCCTGAATCAGGCACTCCTTAGTTGTCAAACATAATTTGGACAGGTTCTTAACAGTGGCCTTGCCCAAAGCAATATATCTCTTGATCTCCTGACTGCTAGTACCAAATGTATTGACTATGGGTACAAGTAAGATGAAGTCACTGACAATTTCTATCTCTTCTCCATCTATCAAGATGTTGCCTACAAATGCCTAACGTATATAGTTTAATGTTTTATACATATATAACCAGTGCTGTCGAGTCAGAACAGACTCGAAAGCCGGCCCTCCAGCAGGTTTCAGAAGCTCTAAATCATACTGCCCACCTCTGTCCTGTGGGACCACCGGCAGCTTCAAACCCTTGGGCTGCCCATGAGGTAATCAGAGCTCCTTTACACATACATCCTACATATATACATATCCAAAGTCAGAATCCCTGCCAAACTAATAAACACAGATTGACACCTCCAAGTTTCCTCCTGATCCCTCCTCTCATCTCATTCCCCAGTATTCAGGCTTCCATTATAACAGATTATGTGTACTTTCTTCAATCTTACGTAAACAGAATCATGTGGTAAACTGTACAGTATTCTTGTCTTCTTTCATTCAGAGATTTATTTCATTCTGAGATTGATCTGTGTTGTTATCTGCATCAGTAGTTCACTCCAGTTCATAGTTTTCTATGTGGGGAGCACTGCTATCTAGTAGGTAAGGAGTTGGGCTGGATAGTTTGAATCCACTCGCTGCACAACACAAGAAGGATGAGTACTCTCTTCCTGTGTGAGTTACGGCCTTCCACTGCTACCACGCAGGAGGGGCAGCTATGGGTTCCACTTGACACCACATAACAACAGTATTTCATATATTATAATTTGATCATCCATCCATCCATCCATCTGCTGGTGGCCACTTGTTTCTGATTTATTGGCTATTACAAATAAAACTGTTATGAGTGTTGTGTGTAGGTTTTTGTGTGAACATACACTTTCATTCCTCCTGGTAAATACCTATGGTTGAAATGGTTAGGCCATAATGTAGATGTGCACATGACTAAGAAAGAAACCACTAATGTGCCACATCTCCGACAGCAGTGGGCAGGGGTTCACGTCACTCCACGCCCTCACGCATGCTATGTCAGTTCTGGAAATTTTACACACGATGCTTTGAACCTGCATCTTCCTGATTACTACTGATGTTAAACATTTTCATATGCATATTTAATAGACTTATCTCTTGGTGAAGCATCTCTTTAAATCTTCTGCTAATTTATTTACTGGCTCATTTGTGTCATAGAATTGAGTCATGAGAGCTAACATTCTAAATCTAATATGTCCACTTTCACCAATTAAATCGTATTTAAATAGCTTTTTAAAAAAATAGTTAATACAAACAAACCATTTCAAAAGGTTCGAAAGGCAGTGAAAACTATTATTGTGTCCCTTGCTCATACAGTTTGCTACAAGAGAATTACTGTTTTAAGTTTAATCATTTTGTTCAGAGACACTCAGGATACACACAAATAACTGTGTGCTGCACCTTCCACCCATGCAGCCCTTCAGCAAGTCCGTTCCCTAAGCAGAATGCCCATGTTATACGTGTGGGAAAATTGCTTGTGAAAAAACATGGCAAGTATTTATTTTTCTCAAATAGCAATCACGTCTTTATGAGCACATAAGAAGCTTCCTCTGTTTTTGTTTTCCTTTCTGTTAAGTGGATATATAGCTCTCTGGGTTTGAGGTGGTCTCTGTAATGATGCCGCTGTTGTTTTTAGGCACTATGAAGTGGAGCACAACTCACAGTGAGCCTGTGAACAAAAGATCTGAGCCCTGTCCTCTCCCACGCCATCCTCACAGTCTCTGACACACCGGAGCCCACTGCAGCACTCATCGGGTTGAGGGTCTGCCTCTCTTCTGCCAACCCCCCATCTTTCCATTCATGATTTACTTCTCCGAGGTACAGTGCCTCTCCTAGCAACATGCCAAAGTATGTGAGGCAAAGCTTTATTATTTTTTACTCTAAAGAGCACTCTGGCTGCATTTTCTCCAAGGCCTATCTGTTCTTCTGGCAGTCCATGGGATGTTCAGAACCCTTCAACACCACAGCTCAAAGACATCAATTCTTTTTCTGTCATTTAATTAACTGTTCAGCTCTCAGATGCAGAGCAAGTGATTGAAAAGACCATGGCTAAATCAGGCACACCTTAATCCTTAAACTGGTATTTTCCACATACTGTTGGATCACCTTTCTTGGGATTAGGAACAAGTATGGATCCCTTCTAGTCAGCTGGCTGGGTAGCTGTCCTCCAAAATTCCTGGCAAAGAAGAGCAATGGAACTGTGGGGTGATAAAAACTGCTCATGAATTTGGCTACTGACCACAAATTTCGAAGTCTGTGTGTACTCAGAGGTGTCTTAAAAGAAAAAGTCTTGCAATCTCCCAAATAGTCAGCCAGTGAGAAGCTTACAGTTGTACTCCAACAGACATGGAGTCACTGTGAATTAAAGTCAGCTGATATCAACTGGTAATTAGTAAGGCAATCAATCACATGATGCCCTTGGAGGAGGAACCTATGTATTTAAGCTGCAGATGTCTGGATATGAGTGAGTGCTTAACCACGGTGCCACCAGGGCAGCTTTATCATCCTTTAACCCTGTGCCTGTTAGTTTGTGTTTCATTGTGTATGAGTTCTCAGAAATTATTACAGGCTATACCGTATCCCCAAAAAGACATGCTGGTGTCCTATTATACTTGAGAATGTGATCTTATTTAGAATTAGGGTCTTTGCAGATACAGTCAAGTTAAGAGGAAGTTATTAGGGTGGTCCCTGATCCATTCTTTTCGGTGTTCTTTTTTTAAAATTTTATTATTTTTCTATGTGTGTACCATCAAATCAGATCCGACTGGACAGGAGGAGATTTCCCCTCCTTCTCAGGCAGGACATCTGGTGGATTTAAACTGTGTACCTCTGGGATTGCAGTACAGCTTTTTTGCCAATAGGCCACCAGAGCTCCCCTTCTTTTTGTTGTTCTTAAAACAGTATTAACTTATACTGCTGAAGGTCATTCAAAAATGGCCAGAACATAGATACATTGATAGGGAACTGCCAGAAGTTCAAGTGGGATTTAGGAGAGGATGTGGCACCAGGGATATCATTGCTGATGTCAGATGGATCCTGGCTGCAAGTAAGGACTACCAGAAGAATGTCTATTTGTGCTTTATTAACTTTGCAAAGATGTTTGACTGTGTGGATCATGATAAGTTGTGGCTAACATTGAGAAGAATGGGAGTCTCAGAGCACTTGATTGTGCTCATGTAGAACCTATACCTGGATCAGGTGGCTGCTATGTGAAAGGAGCAGGGGAGCACTGCACGGTTTGGAATTGGGAAGGGAAGGCACGAGGGTTATATTCTTTCTCCATACCTATTCAATCTGGATGCTGAGCAAATTATCCAAGAAGCTGGACTCTGTGAAGAGGAGTGTGGCATCAGGATTGGAGGGAGACTCATCAATAACTTGCGTTATACAGATGACACAACCTTGCTTGCTGAAAGTGAGGACTTAAGCACTTGCTGCAGAAAATCAAGGAATGCAGCCTTCAGTATGGATTGTGTCCTAATGCCAGGAAAACAAAGATTCTCAACACTGGGCCAACAGGCAGTGTCATGATGGATGGAGAGGAGACTGAAATTGTCAACAGCTTTATCTCACGTGGATCCACAATTAACACCCTTGGTATGAGCAGTCAGGAAATAAGGAGATGCGATGCACTGCACTGGGAAAATCTGTAGTTAGGGACCTTTCCAAATTACTGAGGAGTAGTGATGTCAGTTTGAGGACTAAAGTGTGTCTGATTCAGGACATAGTTTTTCCGATTACTAGCTATGCATCTGAGAGCTGGACAATGAAATGACAGAAAAAGAACTGACGTCTTTGAGCGATGGTGTCAGAGAAGAGCACTGAACATTCCATGGACGGCCAAGAGAACAAACAGATATATCTTGGAAAGGGCACAGCTGGAGTGCTCTTTGGAGGCAAGAATAATGAGGCCTCATTTCACATACTTTTGGATACATTGCTAGGAGGTGCTATTCTTTGGAGAAGGTCATGATGTTGGGAAGAGTGGAGGGTCAGTGAAGAAGAGGAAGACCCTCAACCAGGTGGACTGATGTGGTGACTGCTGCCAATGGGCTCTTGTGTGTGAGGAAGTGTGAGGATGGCGCAGGATAGAATAGGGTTCAAATCTTTTATTCATAGGGTCACTATAAGTCGTGCTTGACTCAACGGCACCTAAGAGCAACATAATAACACCAAAGGGAGAAGGGAACTCTAGGTAGTGGGTAAGAAGCTGCGCTGCCAAACCAAAGGTTGGCAGTTCAAATCAACGAGCTGCTCAAGAGAAAAATGGGCATTCTCTTCTGGTGTGAGGGTCAGCTGAATCGGTTCCAACTCAACCACAATGAGTTTGAATTTTGAGTATTAATGGACAAGAGGCAGAGGACAAGGCAAAGAGAGAGAAAGAACATCATGTACTGACTGGTTGTGGGGGAGACATGAAATTTAAAGGAGCCAAGCCAGGGAATGACAAGAATAATGCAAGATTACCTGATGGATCAGAAAGTAGGATAACAGGACAAAGAAAGTTAGTTAACACAAAGAGTAATTCTCAGAAAGTAATGTTGGAAAAACTAATTTCTATATTTGCAACAAGTGTTAACAAGCAACTGTCGGAATGTCGGAAGGCTTCTGAGGAAACAAAACCTTTCAGGAAAGACACTAATAATGCACATATACTCAGAAAGCTTTCCTATTTAGGGCACTCATAAATATCTCTGCATATCATGATTACAAATATCCTCACCTCTGTGCCAACAGACAACATCATGACAGATGGAGAAGAATGAAGTCTGAGATTTCATCTTGCTTGAATCCCAATTAAGACCTCTGGCACTGGCAGTCAAGAAATCAAAAGCACTGGGTAAATCTGCTGTCAAGGACCTCTCTAAAGTGTTAAGGAGCAATGATGTCAGCTTAAAGACTAAGAGGTATCTGATTTAAGCCACAGTCTTTTTAATTACTAGTCATTTATCTGAAAAGCAAATAGTGACGAAGGATGACAAAGCTGTGGTGCTGGAGAAGAGTACTGACTATTCCATGGACTGACAAAAGAATAAGCAGGTAAGACTTGAATAAAGTACAACCAGGGTGCTCTTTAGAGACAAGGACAGTGAAACTCTGTCTCGCATACTTTCTTAAAAACTTTTTATTTTTATTTTATTACTATTATTATTTGTGTGTGTGTGTGTGTGTGTGTGTGTGTGTGTGTACCGCTGAATTGGATCTAACTGGCAGAGACTGCCCCTCCTCCAGCGGAGCATCTGGCTGTATATTTTTGGCATGTTGTTCAGTGGGGCCTTGGAGAAGGACATCAAGCTTGAGAAAGTGGGCGGTCAGCAAAAGAGAAGAAAATCTTCATCAGGATGGTTTTGCCCATGATGACTATAAGAACAGACACAAATATATGAAGATGGTATAGGATAGGCAGGGTTCAGATGTACTGGTCTCTATGAACTGCAGTCAACTCGACAGTACCTAACACAACAGTGGGGCATATAACCAGATAATGATCAAGGTCTATGAAATGAACAGAAAGGAAAAACTGAAGTTGTTAATAACTGCATTTTACTTGGATCCACAATCAGTATCCAGGGTAGCGGCACTCAAGAGGTCAAAAAGTGTGCTGCACTGAAGAAATCTGGTATCAAGGACTCTCCCCAAAGTGCTAAAGAACAACACTGTCAGTTTAGACTAAGGTTTGCTTGATGCAAGCCATGGTATTTTCAGTTGCTTCCTATATATCTGAAAGTCGGTCAATGAACAAAAGGCGGCAAGCACTGATACCTCTGAGCTGTGGCACTGGCGAAGAGTACTGAGTATCTGAAGGAATGCCAAAAGGACAAACCAATCTGTTCCGCAGGAATTGCAGCCAGAGAGGTCCTTAGAGGAGAGGACGGAGCAATTTCACTTCAGAGAGTCTGGGGATGTTTTACTTCCAGTATCTTTCATGAGGGGCAGTGCTTGGACAAAGACATCATGCAGGGAAAGGAAAAGAACTGGTGAATCAGAGGCAACTCCTGAGTGAGATGGAATGACAAAGTGAATACTTCTACAATGGGCTTGAGCCTGGCAGAGACGGGGAAGATGATGTAAGAAAGGGCAAGGTTCTCACTGTGGTCACTGGGTCACTATGCAATGCAGTTGACTTGAGGCCATCTAACCACCACATTAAAGTCGGTTAATATTTTAAAATATAATAAATTACTCCCAGATGTTTTCTTTTAAGTCATTTTAAAGACAGTAAAAATTAAAATGGCAACAATTCTAACAACTAATCCATTGATTTTCATGTAAACAAAAGCAAAACATTATATATTTACCTCCGTGGTTTTCCCATAAGCCTCCTGATTTTCCCCCATTCTACTCTTGTTAATTTTCTTGTCTTCAAATTAGGAAAGGATTCCTTTAGACATACACAAAAGTCATTATCACCTTCAAAAAGTGGTCTGTAAAGCAGAAATGATACTTTGATGTTTAATATGGAATTTTCTTAAAAGACATAAAATCTGAACTATATTTATTTTCAACATCACACTAATCATAAAATACCAAGCTTTCATTCATATTCCATATATATACACACACTCACACACAGAGACAAGCAAAATTTAAAGTGCTATAACTAATCAAATCCTCCTAACTTTGTAAAATAAATAATTTGCAAAAGTTACCTAAGGAATTTTGTGCCTAAAATTTCCAAGGCCATTGATTTTTGTTATATTTCCTATAAAGATGTCCTTTGAGAGGCTATTCTGGCACCGGCATTGTATTTGGTGATGATACATGATTGCCACCTAGAGTAACCTTATCCCAGAAGTAATATCACCAATCAAGGAGTCCGTTTTGCAAATAAATCAAATCAGTTTTAGAAATCTTGAACTCAAACTCATTGCCAGCAGGTCAAACAGATTCACAGGTGACCCTCCTCTGGGCTTCTGTAGCTTCAAACTGAGAGGGAGGAGACTGGTCATCTCACTCCCGTGGAGCTCTTGGTGGATTTGAACCTCCAGAGAGGCCTTGGCTCTGGGTCAGCAGGGCAGCTTCCTGTGGACCAGGTTGCTGGAGCTCCCCTTTAGAAATGTAGAGGACTCCCTCCAAAGGTTCAGATTGGTTCTGGTCAATTCCACCATAGCTCCAAGCCTAGGGAAAACGTGGGGCAAGATGACAACAACTCTGCTCCAGGCTTTGAGGAATGAGGAAACCCTCTCAGAGGTGACACATGGATGCACTGGGCTCAGGAACTTCCCTGAGAGTGACATATCCCACAATGACCAACAGGCTTTGAGAACGAAGGGAAGTTAAGAGAAGCAGCCAGCACGGTAAACACCCATGACCGGTATGTGTGCATAGATCAAAAATCTTGCAGCATGCTTCCTAAGTCAATTCTACGGCTGATATCTTGTATTACAACAGCTGTCTTCGTGGGTTCTACTTCAACATCTACGTAACCCTGAGGCGGTCTGGTGGCACCGTGCATTCACACATGGATGCTGGCACTCTGAATTCAGCAGTTACTCAGAGGGAGAAGGATGGCTGTCTCCTGTGAAGATCTACAGCCATGGCATCCTGATAAAAGGTCGCTTATGTCAGAAATCACTCAGTAGCAGTGGTCTCAAATCAAAGCCCATCCCCCAAAAAACATACTGAATAATTTTTACCATCCGTTCATAACCATTTTTCTACAATTACACTAGTACTGTAATTTCAAGCAGATAAACCAAGTCTTGTTCATTGCAAATAACGGTACTTTGTTTCAGAATGTCTCCATTCCATGTTCTTTATAAACTTTAATTCAAAGATATCCTCATTTAAAATAATAAAAAAAAGATATCCTCATTTAATGTTCGTAACAATACACCGTGTCTTCTCAAAAAAAGGAGAGAAAGAAAACAATATGAGATAAAGGCTTGAACTAGAATGAGGAACAGAAACAAATTCAGAGAAAACCAGAATTCAGGATCTTTAGAAAAGGTTACAGCTCATATTTGAGAACTTTAAATTTCTAGTTCAAAGAATATTCTTGCTCTAAGTCATGATACATACTTATCTATATTTGAGTAGAACCATTCATATATGCACCATTTATGTGCCTTGGGAAGCTTAAGCAGGTTACGTAATCGAAAACCAATCTTCTGTGAGGCTTTCTTATCCGGTGTTGACATCGTTGCTGTAAATTTCTATACAATTAAAAAAAGATTCATTATGCTCCAATGAGTAAATATAAACACTTATACTGTTGTATACACTTGTAAAACTGTAGACTACTGTTAAATAGTACAAAAGATGCAACATAAACTATTGTTACTGTTCAACAGTTTGATAATTTTATAAAATTAAAAGTTTCTGGATAAGATGCATTATATACAATATACTATCACTTAGTTGAATCTGCTGAAGCAGTGTTTAGAGAAAAATTGATAACTATGAACATACATGTATTAGAAAAGAAGTATTTTCAATAAATAACCTACACTTCCACCTAAAGGAATGAGAAAAAGAATAAGTCAATTCAAAGCGAGCAGAGGGTAGATAATAAGAAAGATTACTATACAGAAGTAAAAGAAATAGAAAGTAGAAAAACAATAGGGGAAAAATTGGTTCTGAGAGAAGTTCAACAATGTCAATAAATGTCTAGCTAGAATGATCAAGAATGTAAAATTAGATACCCAATTCCTGCCCATGCCCATCTAAAAACCAGGATCAATGTCAATGTAAAATATTAAAAAATATTCTAATGTGAAGAATCTGACACAGATGTCCACTATCACCATTATTTTCTGAGTTCGCAGTATGATTCCCCAGAAGAACTCCCTATTTTTAAATGTTTACATTTACAATGTAACATTACTATTTTTAAATACTGTTTTGGAAGAATTAGTCCATTAGATAAGAAGAACAGAAAATCTGAAAAGACAAATCTGCCATTACTTTCAGGCAATACAGTCCCAGAAATTTCAAGAGAATCCATTAGAATCATTACAAACCCAAGACAATTAACAGAGGAAAAACATAAACCTGGTATTAAAAATTAAGATCTTAAAAACAATTACTTTTCTATACATCTTACTAGTTACCCTTTTATTTTTACAATAATGGTCTTATGATTAGTTTCATCCTTATGAAATTGAGTTCATTCAGCATAATGCTCTGTAGCATCTTCCATGTTATAGTATTTTTTTTTGTATGTTATATATTTTACAAAATCAATGCTCCTGAGTGCTACATAGTATTCCATGGTTTGAATCTATTATAATTTCTCAATCCACTAATTTGTTAAAAGACATTTTGTCTGTTTCCATTTCCTTCCTATTGTGAAAAGGGGATGAGGTGTGGGGTGGGAGGACAACGGGAGGGGGTGAAGGAATTAGGAAAGATTAAATGGGAATGTGAAAGGACAAGGTAACAATAGGCATGTATCAATGGTGACTGAATTTAAAAGGCACAAATGTGTATGAAAGATATTATAAAACACAATGTGAATGAAGAAATGTGTGAAACACAATGTGCATCAATGATATGCAATGTATACAAATTCTGTAAGCAAACCAACATAAAAAACAAAACACATAATCACTCTTTCCTATATCCAAGTGTGAAATGCTAATAAGACAATAAAACCAAAGTGCTATCTTGTTTATAATAGTAACAACAGCAGTAACAAAAAGTTGACACCACAACAAGATAAAGGTAAAAAATCCAATTGAAAAATGGGCACAGGATATGAAGAGACACTTCACCGAAGAAGACATTCAGATGGCTAACAAGCACATGAAGAAATGTTCAAAATCCCTAGCTCTAAAAGTGATGCAAACTAAAACAACTATGAGTTATCATCTCACCCCAGACAGAATAGCAAAATTTAACAGGGCAGCAAGCAACAAATGCTGGCGAGGTTGTGGAGAAACTGGAACCCTTATTCACTGTTTGAGGTAGTATAAAATGGTGCAACTACTGTGGAAGGCGGTATGATGTTCTCAAAAAGTTGCAAATAGAGATACCATTTGACCCAGCAATTCCACTACTGGGAATATACCCCAAAGAGACTGTAACTGACATCCACGCAGATAAATGCACACCCATGTTTATCACGGCTTGGTTCACAATAGCAAGGAGTTGAAAACAACCTAAGTGCCCATCAACAAATGAATGGATAGAGAAGCTGGGGTCTATTCACACAATGGAATACTACACTGCATTGAAAAAAAGGAACTCATGCAATATTATTCAAAATGGGTGACTCTGGAGGACATAATGCTGAGTGAAGTATCTCGGTCACAAAAGGACAAATACTGCATGGTGCCACTGTTGTAAAACAGGACTGACCTTGGGGTTGGGGAGAGACTGAGAAAGATGGGTTCAATAATGTATACTGCACTGAAACAGATGAGGGAGAAAACTGTTTAAAAGGGATATATGATTAGGTATTTTTGTCATGACAGGAGTCTAGAGTGAAGGCTACATGGTGGAGTGGACCTTGGGGAGAGTTTACAAAACAATGAAAGAATTTTTCTTTTACTTTTCCAAGAGGGTAGTGTTCTGGGGGGGAGGGTTGGGAGGGGAGAAAAGTGCAACAATGAATAAATGGAAATCCATAGTCTCTGTAAATTTTTACTGTAATTAATAATAAATTTAAATTTTAAAAAATAAAGCCCCAGGAACTGATGGAATACCAATTGACATATTTTAATAAACAGATGCTGCCCTGAACATGCTCCCAGGTTGTGCCATGAAATCTGGAGGAGACCACCTGGCCAACTGACTAGAAGAGATCCATATTTCTTTCCATTTATAAAAAAAAACAAAGTGACCCACCAGAGTGTGGAAATTACTGAACAATATCACACACTAGCAAAACCCTGCTGAAGATTATCCAGAAATTACTGGAACTCTACATTGACAAAGAACTACCAGCAAAACAAGTTGGTTTAGAAGAGATCATGGCACTATAGTCATATTGTCAATATAAGATGGATCTTGGCTGAAAGCAAAGAGTACTAGAGGAATGTCTATCTGTGTTTCCTTGACTATGCAAAGGCATTTGACTGTGTGGCTCACAACAAACTGTGGCTAATTTTGAGGAATCCCAGAACACTTGATTGTGCTTAGGTGAAACCTGTACTTGGACTAGGAAGCAATCTTCAGAACAGATCAGGGAAACACTGCATGGTTCAAAATCAGGAAAAGAGTGCATCAGGGCTGCATCCTGTCTCCATACCTTTTCAATCTATATGCAGAACAGATTGTTCAGGAAGCAGGGCTTTATGAGGAGAAACGTGGCATCACGATTGGAGGAAGATTCATCAAATGCCTACATTATGCAGATGACATAATCTTGCCTGCTGAAACTGAAGAGGACTTGAAGCACTTGCTGCAGAAGGTCAAGACTGTAGTCTTCAATATGGATTGAAGCTCAACATTAAGACAAAGATTCTCACCACTGGGCCAATTGGCAGCACCATGATAGATGGAGAAGAGATTGAGGTTGCTAACAATTACAGCTTGCTCAGCTCCACAATTAATGCTCTTGTCACCAGCAGTCAGGAAATTAAAAGGTAAACTGCACTAGGAAAATCTGCTGTCAGGGACCTCTCCAGAATATTGAAAAGCAACGATATTAGTCTAGAGACTAAGGTACGCCTAAACCAAACCATGATCTTCGCAATTACTTGCTATGCATCAGAGAGTTAGACAATAACTAAGGATGACAGAAAAAGAATCGATGCCTTTGAATCGTGGTGCTGGAGAAGAGTCTTGAACATACCACGGACTGCCAAGAAAACAAACAGGTCTGTCTTGGAGAGGGTGAAGGCAAGTTTCTCCCTGAAGGCTAGAATTTTGAAGCTCTGTCTCACATACTTTGGGCCAGGAGAGACCAGACTAGTCCTTGGAGAAGGACATCATGCTTGGAATGGTAGAGGGACAGTGCAGGAGAGGAAGAGCTGGATGAGATGGACTGATACAATAACTGGGGCAATGGGGGTTGGTGTGTCAGTGAGACTGGCTCAGGACAGGACAGGGTTCAGAGCTGCTGTACGTAGGGTTACTACAGGTCACAGACAACTCAATGGCACACAACAACAACAACAACGCCCCATTAAAACAGTTGATAACTGCTTATATGTACACAGATTTACCAGACATAAAGAGTTCTGTTTTTGGTTTTTAAATTTGTTTTTAAAAATGCTAGAAACAATCCTAATCATATTCAGGAATTAGTTTTTCAAAGAAGTCAGCATTTCAAGTCAAGGTAGACAACATGGACCACTCAATAGATATGACTAGGAACACTGAATTCAACAACTCAAACTCCACTGACTGCCAAAGAATCAAGAGCTCACTCACAGCAGATCCTCCAGGGGATTTTTCAGACATAGGAGTCAATTCAAATGGTATAGGAGACTGACTGCCCTTTCTCCCAGGAGTTGCTGGTGGATATAAACGAGCCACCTTTAAAAAGTTGGCAGTGCAACTCCCTAAGAATTTTGTTATCAGTGCTCCTTAGGAAAGAAAGTTTTCCTTTTAAAGTCTTTTTTTTTTTTAGCTATCGCTGCCAGTTTAGGGCCTGTGTCAGGAAAAGGAAGTCTTACTCATATACAATGCCACCCAAAGGTAATAAAGGAGGTCAGAATTGCTTCCACTATGGAAAGCTGGGCCACTTCAGTAGACAGTGTCACAGATGAGAGCCACAGATAGGCAAGAGAGTAGAGAGGAAGCTCCCACTCACTTGCTTTAAGT